ATAGATTCGACTAATTGGGATGTACCCCAGTCAAAAAAATCAGACAACATGAATTTAAGCCTTTCTTCATCTCAGCTCAGTAGCCGGAAAGGCAATTCGCAAATTCCAATCTTCAAGGATCACAATTGGGTCTAAAGATTAAAAGGACCTTTTTGTATATATTTATTCAATAAAACGTTTGAATAAAGCTTTTCCGCAAATCAGTGCATCCTAGTTTCTGTGGCGTTTTAGATTGACAATTTGCGATTTCTGATATAGTAATTTAATTTGAACGATATAAAGGATGTAGTAACAACTCAATGTTTGTGCATATAGTTGTTAGTTAATGTTTTACTATGTAATTATTTAGCTTGTATTTCCTAATTAAATTCTTATATTTTTATTGATTATGTATGCTTGTTGATTTAGGCTCACCTGTTAGGACAGGATTGTGTTCTTTTGTGTATATATAAATAAATTAAAAACATTTCCTCGAAAATTTTTTATGTTAAGTAGCATGATTGATTTAATATCCCAATTGAATTGAAATAATAAGTAAGTTTAGTATTTACATAAAATAACTTTTATCAGTTGATAAAAGCTATATAACGCTATAGTATATTATCGGTATAAATTTGTCAATGGTATTGTGATAAACATGCATGTATTTTACAGTGCTACAGGGTTGCTACGATGTAGCGGTCTACGTAATAACTGCTACGATTTCTGTAGCACTATTGATTTCAAATGGATAACGTGACAAAAGCTCTTATACGGAGATTAAATTCCCTCTGGCCATCGCAGATTAATGGCACCTCATCAGAACAATATCGCTGTTGCTTTGTTTTTCTTTTATTAGTAAGTGTTTTAATGGATATTGTAGATTGAACAGTTATGTGTTAACATAAAAAGATAACGTTGATAATGGTTATCTTTTTTATACCTTTACAAACAATACTTTAATAATCTATTAATTACTACTTCTCATAAATGTAATTATTTAATGTTAATTAGTGAAGTCTCAATTTTTACTTATTGAATTTATTTTTTATTATTTGTTCAGATGTTATTATGCTAAAGAGTATGATGATTGAAATTGTTACATCGTTATACCTCACATTTTTTTAGTACTGATACTAAAAGATAGGTGTATGTCACTACAAAAAATATTATCACTAGGTGTCAGGTTTATACGATTTTGATAGAAGTTCTAGCTAACGCGTTGTCACTCACGAGAGCTTCTACATCTAATACTATTGTCTTCAATGACGCGTACGATTGCGCTGCTTTACTTTACTACTTTGCTTTGGTTGGTAAAATATTTCTAAACCCCAAATCATTTAATTTCACGTTTTTTTCTATCTATTTGACAACTGTTTGTCTGCCACAATCGGCAGATAGTAATATACTGTCAAAATCTAGAGAGGACGCCCCTGTATTAATATTAACCAAACCTATATTAATATTTAACGCGTGTCTCCACCCGTTATGCCACGTTCCCAAACCACATGCCATACCCGGCAAATGTAATGGGTTTAAAGAGTCATGTGGTCGCCATAGCCGAACCTGTCCATCAGAAGTAGTAATCTGAACTGAGTTTATACTGTGATCTCTTGGACTGCAAAACTAGGCGAGCGCTATTGTGACCGCCCACGAAGGGGGCGGGGTGATGACGGAAAGACTTGCTTCGTTTTATTATGATTCATCAAAAGGAACGACGGATCGGTCGAGGATGTGCGATTGGACTATAGATGGCCAATCGTAATCAAGAAAAGCGCTTTAAATAAATAAATAATATAATAAATACAGAAAGCCGTTTAATATAAAAATACTACGGATAACAATTAAAACTATACTGCTCAAAACAATTAGCGGAACAAGATTTTTCTCCTTTCTATTGCTTAAACTAAAATTAGATTTAAATTAACTTGTACGCTATTTTTTACCTTGTTAATTTGTTAATTACTACAATTAATAAAAAAATTCAATTTGTATTTTTTTTATTAAAAAAAAAATAAAATGTGCATTGTAGACGAAAAACTAATTGGTGATAAAAAAGGTCCATCAAAGAAATATTCTTATATCGTTTGAATATTCGTCTTTAGTGACTTTCAGTAACGTGTGTGGCCTCCATGAGCCCTAATCACGGCTTGACAACGACGCGGCATGCTTCGTATGATCCTCCGAATATCTTCTTGTGGAATTCGCTCCCATTCTTCAATCAACGCTTCAGTGAGCTGATGCAGTGTTTGAGGTGCAATCGGACGCTTCCGGATGCGCCTGTCAAGCAAGTCCCAAATGTGTTCAATTGGATTTAGGTCAGGGCTCATGGAAGGCCACTCCATTACACGGATTTCCTGCTGTCGTAATGGCTGCAGTATGCGGCCTGGCAATATCTTGCATTAAGAGAAAATCTGGGCCCATACCATATGCTGCGGGCCAAACATGATCTTCGAGCACATTTTCAATGTAAGTTTGAGCACACAAGCGCCCGGGAACAACGACGAGATCTGTGCGCTCGTTCAAACTAACTCCGCCCCAAACCATCACAGAGCCACATCCAAGTTTGTCATATTCCTGGACTGCTGCTGCACTGTATCGCTCGCCTGGGCGTCTGTAAACACGGAGACGACCATCGCAACGTGTTAGACGGAATCGTGATTCGTCAGTAAAAAGCACTGGCCTCCAATGTCGAAGTTGCCAATTAGCGTGATTTTGCGCGAACTGTCGGCGAGCTTGTCTATGTTGAATTGTTAGACGCACAGCCCGAACTGGTCGGCGTGATCTCAAATTGGCTTCCAACAACCTATATCTTACCGTCTGGTCGGAAATTTCTACACCAGTAGCCATCCTTAGTGTATTTTGTAGATCTCTTGCAGTTGTGGTGCGGTTACGTAAAGCACAGTTGACGATGTAGCGATCTTGCAAACGTGTAGTTTTTCTCTTTCGACCTTGACCACGCCTTCGTGAGTATTCTCCCGTCTCACGGTATCGCTTCCAAAGTCTGTAGATAACAGAAGGGGCTACTCCTAGATCATTTCCTACATAACGCATAGTTCGACCCTCTTCAAGCAAAGCGATAGCTCGGGAGACATGCAATTCAGTCAGATCTGGCATTATGACCTAAACTCACTCGCTTCAATGAATAACAATACTCAAAAGGCTCACTTCAATTTCTATTAATACTCAAATTATTGAAAAAACTACTTAAAATGTGTTTTCTGTGATTAGAAAGTAATGAAAATTCAAAGACGTCACTTTGTTTTTCGTCTACAATGCACATTTTAATTTTTTTTTAATAAAAAAAATTGATTTTTTTTATTAATTGTAGTAATTAACAAATTAACAAGGTAAAAATAGCGTACAAGTTAATTTAAATCTAATTTTAGTTTAAGCAATAGAAAGGAGAAAAATCTTGTTCCGCTAATTGTTTTGAGCCGTATATAACTTAAACTATAGAAGCCGGCGGTCATCTCATTAGCTTTGTATAAAGTATAAATTTTTTTAACTTATTTTACTCTAACATACGAGTTAATATAATTTCTAGTTTTTCAAGATTTTCAATAACGGCGAACGTACTCGACTGGAAAAAAATAGTTCACAATTACAACGTTCGCATTTCGTTGAACTAACGTGAAAATGTTACTATAAATTTATGTCAATAAAATATACAGTTTTACAATTTGACATATTGTATAAAAATGGTTCATCCGATCTGTTTTACTACTTCACTATTTTTGAATTATCTACTGTATTCATATCTTGTGGGTTATCTATTATCAACTACTGTTTAATTTAATTAAGCATACTAGCTTAACATATTAATCAGGGTTTATAATAATTTACCAAAAATATTCAAAGTTCTTTCTACTAGAGTTTTTGAAAATCGACTTGATGCACTACTTTTGGGAAAAATGTGTTATTTTGTTTATAATTATTTGCGTGTAACATTATAATTAATATTCATTTGATAACGTAATAATATATTTTAATAAAGTGATGATATAGTTATAAAATAATATAATAATCGAGTATAATCATAAAACTCATAATGTAATTATAACTTCTATTCTACCCTTGACAATTTTGCATACACCTAGACAAATTTGCACGCCATTATGTGCGGCAGAATATGCGAACTTTAGGTATAACATTTTTGTACCATTTTGTACCACATAAAATACAAATATTTAGGAATGCTTATTTTACTCCTATTTTACATGAATTCATTAGCAAATTGCCGTCTCATCATCACCTAGAGCACAAATATAATAACAGATAATATCAAATTACCGCAGTTAGAAACACGAATGCTCAGTTTATCCGCTCAATATTAGAGGAAATATCTGTCTTCCGCAAATTCAAGAGCTAAATTGAACTTTGACATTGCTTTGTTCCTTTTTTTTGCCATGTCGAGGGCCACTTTTTATTAATCATATAATTGACACCTATATTAGATAATATTCTGCTAGTCAAGTACCAGATTAGATTTTCGGGAAAAATAATCTCCCTTCGCTTCATAGTCTCACATCGACTGAAGTAAGTTGAAGGCTGGTCATTATTTACTTTGGTTAGGAAATACATCGATATCTCATAGTGGTGATGCTTAGAGTAGGGAATGCAATCTAGATCGTTGATTCGAGATCTCGTGGGATTAAGAATTACAATCACTCGAGATCACGGCATCTTCGAGATCTCGGGTTGTTTTCAAAAACCAATTCTAATAGAACACCTTGAGCATGATGAAAACTGCTAACATGTGTTTATTAAGATACGACATTATTTTAAAGAAAAATGTTTATCGTAACTCATATTTACAGTAACTTCTATTATTAAAGTACCTAGTACTTTAATACAAGCCTACACAGTAGTGAATAAAGATTTATTTCCAGAATTACTTTTATAAGATAACCTAGATATTTAGGAGCAAAGAGTATCGAGAGTTCTGTCTGTCTATTTGTCTTTACTCGGGTAAAATACGAATAGAACTTGTAAGCTTAATTTATCCGAATACTTCATGTATGATTTTGACTGTTGTTTCAGAATGCGCTCCAGATATTATATGCATAGATGAGATACAGCCCGAGGTGCAAACGGCGCCCCTAACGAGTGAGTACATATATTTTTTTAACATTGTTCTAGTTTGTGAATGCAGCTACTGAAAAATATATTGAGACAACAATATGTTGTGTATGTATCACTCAGCGTGGATATGATCTGAGAGCATGAACAACTTTGAAATTCATTCGATGTTACCCACCTAGCAAGTACTTATTAACTTAGTGGCTTCGATTAACGCACACGACATAAAGCCTAGCGGAGGCGCTAATTTTGGTTTCCAGCGAACCATAAATAAATAGTAAAATATCACGCTGATTATCTCATATGAGTTACGGAATTGAATGAAATAAATAAAAATAAAATATGGATATATTTATATTATTATCACAACTAACAGTTTTCCCCTTGGCAAAAAGCTCTTAAAAATGTCGCCATCTTAATCACATCCTCGCTACTCTTAACCATTCTGGAAGACCTGTCTTCCATTGCATCTCTGCCTATTAGGACCATTCGGTTATAATTTTTGGACAATTTTACCTATCTTCTCATTCCATGTCCCACCCATAGCAATTTCAGTATTTCTTCCATATATTTTTTAATCCTTTTAATAAACCCACATTAATTAAATTATTTAATTTTAAAATACCAATTCACTGTCTACACTCTACAGTATTAATAAAACTACTTTATTGATATTAGATTAGCGCTACTCGTAATTTACGAGAAGCTATTGATAATACTCCAAGTCAAGTTTGTGACTGATTGTATTAAGTACTTCTGTGCATAATGCGCTCTCGATATCTAAGGTCTTTCATCTATTTATCATCATAGGATGAAATATAAATTAAAAATATGATTATTGGAGCTTGTACCCTTTATAAAGGTTATATTTACTGTAACTGTTAATAGCCCAATGTAGTGTTGTTTGGTCAGCTCGGAGTCGGCCGTTTTATTTGGCATCTGTTGATTTAAAAAAACCTGGGAAAACGTTGCACATCGCCTACCACATTCACATGATAACAATACTTGGCGATTAAAAAGAGTGGCGGAAAGTTTCTTGCCAGTTCTTCTTACCCGCTCTACGCCATTGACTTGCGAACTGGTAGTAAATGTAAATTTACAATTAATTTAACTTGACAATTCAAAAGTGTACTTGGTTACCCACTTGAATTAAGATATTTTGAGTTTGAGTTTGATTACTTAATGTGGCAATACGTTGTTTAGGTGAAGAAAGTGACACGGCTGATACTGAAGGTCGATTGTCGCTAGAGAGTTCACCGCTACGACAACGACGTGCGGGAATTTTGAAGGGCGGGAGGCTCTGGAAATCCTTGGACAATGACAAGGAGGGCAGTGAACAGGTAATGATTTTATTAAATTTAATAGGATCTGGACATTTCCAATGCTTTTATATGTTAAAGTATTTATAGTAAATATTTAAATGTGTCGACTTCGCGTAATGTCGACCCCTGCTATTTTGCCGATAAATATGGAAATAAAAAAAATTAAGCTATGGTAGCTACCATGAGCAGTAGTGGCCTAGTGGCTTCAGCGTGCGACACTCATACCTGTACCTGGTCGTAAGTTCGATCCCCGGCTGTGCACCAATGGACTTTCTTTCTATGTGCGCATTTAAGATTTGCTCGAACGGTGAAGGAAAACATCGTGAGGAAACCGACATGTCTTAGACCCACAAGTCGACGGCTTGCGTCAGGCACTGGAGGCTTGCCTATTAGTTTTAAAAATGATCATGAAACAGATATAGAAATCTGAGGCCAAGATCTAAAGGGGTTGCAGCGCCACTGATTTATTTTATTATTTATGGTAGCTACCATATATTTATGTCGCAGCCAAATAGCTTAAAAAGCCGTTTAATTAACAGCCTAGCCTTTGAACTAAACAGCACCGTTTAACTAGCGGCCTGAAAGATATTTAACTATAATAAACGTATCTATGCCCAAATAGGATTTTCTTTCTGTGACCAAAGTTATCTTTATAGTAAGAGAAGAATAAGAATGAACAATCTTTTAGTTTTAATTTCACTGACCATTACTATTGACAAAACTCTATGGCACGCTAGACAATCTACTTTGATTTTTTACACCTGTCAACACTGACAATGTTGTAACGTGGCTGTCAAAACGTGAATTCAAAATAGAAAAGTCTGTGTAATGTATTCCATCTCATTCTTTTACACGTTCAATCCATTTGTCTCTTTCTACATAACGCCTCAACTTTTCGTGTTACACTTGATTTTACTCCTCATAAAATTTCCGTACCGGGCCTTATAACTCAAATCGTTTCTTAAGGAGTAAACTCCAATAAACTCCAATAACACGATAATAAATCTAAAAAGTTTGGCCACAACTCGGCCATTTTCTTGCGATTGTTTTACGCTGAGAACAAGCCATTTAATTTATATTTTGTATCGAATTAAACTTAATTAACTATTTCAGTTCAATGTATAACATTCACTCAAAGTAACTTGTAAGTAGTAACACCTATAAATAAACGAATAAATAAAATCAAAGATCAAAGTAGTGATCCCAGTGTCTTAAGAAACAAATATCGTTAACATCGTTTCAATAGAACTGTTTACGACTCCGAGAATAACTTAATGCTACAAAGCTGGAATTGTGGGCCATTTTCTTTTACAATTTATTCTGTATTCAACTTAATAGAGAGATGTAGTAAATTTCTCAGTATCCTTAGAATTCTACGAATAAGACGATACATTTATTTTAAATCCAATTTCTTTTCATGTTCAGCTACTCATACTTTTTGTGTTATTCTAAGTAATGTTGCTCTGTGAGTATTTAGACCTTGACCTTGAGACCATCATGAAAACTTAATAACACTATAGCTTTCCAAAAGCATCTTAATAACTTAAGTAGATGTCAGCAAAAAGGGAACAGCTGGATAAAAGCAAGTATCAAATAAAATACAGATATAATCAGGTTAATTAATTTCAGCCATAAATATACACTCTATCAGGGCTTAGTACATATGGCATCGCCTTCTGATAAAGTGACAAATCTCTCACACAACCACTATACTTATATGCGTTATCATTGACATACAGTCTATAGGGTAGAATCATTATTTGTATCCTATATTTAAAGAGATTTCTTTTAATAGAACGACGATCAGCGGTCAACAACAGCCAGCGACGAAGACGGGTCTGTCACACCCAGATCGGTACGATTCGTTGAACGAGCAAAAGAAGCGGAGGATGAGGAGAAAAATAAAAACACAACTACGGGTCAGCAAACACAAAACTTGGATGAAATACAAAGGGAAATCCCCTCTACGCATAGGTGAGTCTCAAAGATGCTCAGATTTGATAATCGAGTTTATTGAGATTTTTTTAAGTTTAAGGTCACTCCAACGTCCTAAACGATGTATTCTATCAAATGTCTTCTTTTGTGGTTATTTGGACATTAATATTGTATTTCTAAGATTTTTTTTTCGTTATACTAAATATTTTTAAATTAAATCTACTCTTTTAAAGAAAAAACTGTTTGACCGGATTGAAGTTATGTATTATTATAAATTTACAACTATTTAACATACGTGAAACGTCGGATAAATTTAAAATTATGTTAAATAGTTGTAAATTTATAATAATACATAACTTCAATCCGGTCAAACAGTTTTTTCTTTAAATGTGTAAAGGTTATGTAAATCAAAGACAATATTAAATCTACTCTGCTAGGAACATTAAAACATTATTTTGAAGCCAAAAATGCTTTGACAGAGCACCAGTGAACTATAGAATATAGTTCCATTCCTCGTTATATTTACATTGTACTGAAATAGAAGATGTTTCCAGATTGGATACTCCGCTCATACTAACAGCGAATGCGTCGAAGTCAAATTCTGCGGTACAACAACTGTTTACCAGTAATCGACCTCCACCACCCGCTATAGAACCACAGCTAATCACATCAGAAACGTTACGGTAAGTTGGTTTATCATTAGATAAGTTGAATTATTTTGTTTTGGATTTCGAATTAAGAATGACTTGATTTTTACAGCCGTTTTTTAAGTCATCAATGACTAGAAAGAAATTAACGTGAACGTAAAGTGTCTTGAACATTGTTTATATCTTTGAAATAAATATATCGTCAGGGATAATGTAGCATTTTCTAAATTCGTCTGTTCACCATCAATTTAAAAACATTCGTTATTTTAAATCAAGTAAATATAAAATAAATGAAGCCGTTCTGTATTATAGCAATGTTAATTTGTTTCGAATTACATTCAATACTTAATGTTTTAAAAGCGCACTCGATTATTTATTATATTATACTAACAGCTAACAATTTGAGCATAAAATTAAACAATAATTTATGTGCCAGTGTAAAGTGAGGGAAGCTAAACAAGTTGTGTATTAATTTTATAATTTTAATTGGTATTAATAACAGTTTTTGGATCAGTATTAATAAGTATATTTAAGAAATATTCGCTAGAGATTTCTTTATTCCCGTCACATGTTTTTAAATGTTATCAAAGTATTGACAGGACTATTTCCGTCTGAAAAACAGTTCGTTTATAATGAAGAGTAAAAATAGTTACATCGGTATTGTTCGATAAAAAAATAATTACTTTTTTATTTAAATTAAAAACTTAAAATCACTTTTTATCAAAGAGTTATTCCTCACTAATACAAAATGTTACGTGTTTTTATTTAAAGTGAAATTATATAATTTAGTTTACCAACTATTTAGCAATTACGTACGTTTATGTATGTTTGGTAGGCTTGAGGAAAGGTTGTAAAGTATATTTCATACAGCTTAGACTGCATATTCAATTTAATTCTATGATATATTTTTATGCATTAAGCCTTTACATACTTTAAGTGAATACTAAATCTCATATTTCTCACGAGACTTCGCTGCAATTGCCCTGCTATTTAACGCATGTGAATTGCCCTACTGATAGCATATGAGACTTAAACGACGAAGACTTATACTTAAATTATGAACATTGTCTTATTTATTTTTCTTTGTAAGAGCATCTGTATTTCTTTACAGAGCTTGGGACGCTGGCGTAAGACCGAAGGCGGAAGATGCAGCGGTACGACGAGTAGCTGAAAGAAATGCTATCAGGTGTTCACTTCTCCGAACAGAAACGAGGAAAAAGCAACAGCCAAAGGTAAATTAATTTGTATTTCACGTTTTAAAACAAATGATTTTTTTCGGTTAATTACTTAGATATTGCGTTGAAACTGTATACAATTTGTTGGTGACAATACGATACTGTTTTAACATGCCTTTATTGCTACTCAATAAAAAAAAAGTTCTGTTACAGTTATATTATATAAAATAACTGATTAACGATGCAAATGATGAGCATATAAGTCTAGGATGGGTCTCTCAGTTTTTAACTCCAATTTGCAGTTTTAAGCTAAATACGGGTCGTAATTCAGTCATATCAGTGAAAGGATTCATGTAATGTATTTTAAAACGCGCATTAAAATCATTAACAGATATATTTTGTAACAGATAGCATCAATTTATCTTTAAACATTAAAAAGAGTAAATAAAACATACGTGTGACGAGAAATTCGTGAAAATTAAATTCCAAATACACGGTTTGCTTTGATTCTCCGTAGTGGAACGGAATAAAATGTTTTGGACTGTATTTCTATATATGCGAGCTGAATGGCAAATATTTAAACCAATATTTGTGTGGACAGTATGTATTATATCATATCAATATTGTCTCCGTTGCTACAAGCAATTCATAAAACGAACAATGTTTTACTTTATGAACGCACGCAAGAGAAAAGATTCGCACTATATAATATAATGGGTAATTAATTCACTGGACCTAAACGTGGTCTTGAACAATATAAATACAAATTTCTCTATCATATAAACACATTAATTATAAGCGTGGAATAAAATAGCTTTTAGTTGACATAATTTCAAACTATGTTGTTTCGTGTCTCCGACATTTGACTGACATACATCCGCTGTGAACTTTAGTAAGCAAAATAATATTATGTTAATCTGCATCCACAAATTATCATTCGTTCGTAACTGTCATTCGATGGTGTTCCTAATAATAATTGCATTTCGAATAATAACACTAAGTTACTACTGTTAATAATGTCTAAAAAACACGTTGCGATATTTCTTTGTCTCATACTTGAAGCTGTTCACGACAGCGGACAAGTCCATATAGAGTATATACAATAAAAATTCTGCGATTAAAGCGATGTAAATCGAGATTGAGATCTCATGATAGAGAAAAATATACGTTTTTGTACTATCTTTTGAGGAATCTAACATTTAGATTTTTTAGACAAGATCATCTCTACTTAAAAGTCCGGCAACGCACTTGAAATATTGGAAGTCTTGCAAGTGTCTATCAAACTTTATTTAAAGTGATCCGCTTGTTCGTCATAGAACATAAAGTGTTTTATGGCACGAAATTCTCATTATAAACTTATTTCTTATGTCGTGTGTTTATTACGTCATGTCATGTTAAAATTTGAGTGTATTTGACAAAACATTTTCATTGCCTTAAGTGCCGTTAATAAATAATAATAATCCGTGATAATAAGTTTTTATTGCGATCCTTTATATATGAACAATTTAACTTTATTCTAATTTATTCTACTTTGTTTCGGTTTCTAAGTGTGTTTTTTTTTTGTTTAATCGGGTCTCCTATAAAGAGAACATATTTCTTTTGAATTATAAAAAAAACACTTTGTCCGCGTCGTGTTGGAACGTGTTCTTAAAAATGGATAAAATTTAGAATCGCGCGGTTACAAAAATTCTGCTTGAACAATTTTACTTTTTGCTTTGTATGCTCCTCCATATTCTATGGTTGCGCGTTGATATGCTGGATTCTAGCCAAGAAGAACTACCATTAACGCTGACCCCCGCACGGAAAGCCCTACATAGTGGGGCAGTAGTGACTGAACAAATGATTTAAACAATTTTAAGCTATTGCATAGATTTTATCGCGGGCTTTGAGCGCGGTGACCGAATCAAGAAATTCCGTAACGAAATAAACCTATGATACACGATGACGTAATATAGGTGCGGCCAATATGCGTTAGAGCGGGACAGAACGCATACTGCGTCTCACATCGGTTTAGCGTGATCGGATAGGCGTGTTAGTCTGAGTCTGGTAGAGTGGTAGGTTGAATTAATATCAAAGAAAAAAAAATACTGCAAAAAATAAATAAATAATTATATTGCATAAGTTTATAAATAATGCTATGCAATAGCTTTACCGCGGAAGTCCCCGAGTGCCACACGTATTTTTTTTATTGTTTTATAGTAGAAGAAATGTAGATTTCTGTAGGAAGCATCCATAGTGTGATGAGATAGCCACCTCTTGGTAATCGAAACCCTTAATCATGGAGCCACTATTACGGGGACTTTGAATGCAAGACAAATAATAAAGTTACGTGAGGAAATACGCAATCAACAGCCTGGCTAAATCTAAAGTCCAGAGTTGTGATGGCTGCTACTCACGAAGCTGGGCTCGAATTGATGGAAGATATGAATTATGAATATGGAGGTCACCGGATCTAGATCCTAGAAATTTCTACCAGTATCACTTTTTATTGAACTCATACGACAATATTTTATATGATATCAATAATGTTTTAATGAAAAATGTCATTAAAATTAAATATTATGTACTGTTCATGAAATATGAATTAAACATATTATATTTTTTTTATATAGTTAGTAAGACACAATTGGCCGCCAAAGACGGTATAGACCTCAATGGGGTTGAACTTGTTTTCTGTATATTTATTGTCACAAAGAAAATACTAGGTGATCAGCTTACTTAGTTAGTTCTTCTGTTAAACTTAAACTTAAAATGAACGTCACCAGTAAGCAATGGAGACTTTTTACTGTTAACCAATATTACGAAAAAATCCCAAAGCTCGGTTTCATTAAAAATATCTTTTCATTCATCATAATAACATATTGCTATTTTAATTAAAACATTTCGTATAATGAAATGAAATTACGAAATTTTTAATAAATTTATCGAAAATCGGAGGCTTTGTATAAAATTAAACTGTTAATTTATTAATTATTAATTAATCCGAACATCATTTTGTAATAATAGACAGTACTAATAAAGTTATTTACAGGATAAATGCGTGTAATAACCACGGAGAAGTAATATTTTCATGAATAATAATCCACAAAGGATGACAAAATATAAATACACTTTACTTTAAATACCACAATACTTTGCTTATTGTACATTTTATTGGAAAAAGATTACTGTGTACGTTTCCGAATAAATACATGTTGGTGTAACAGCTATAGAGAGAATCCGCTCATATTGCCAGTTTCGCACCTCCGGGCGTTTGATATTTATTTTACACGGGTTTGTGGTCTCTTTAAAATGGCCTTTCATTTTATTCCATTACCAGGAGTGTTCAATATAAATGTTTCTACGTTTTGTATATCTTTTTTCTAAAGCTAAAATTCCCATTGTTATTTTTTTTTTCCTAATCTTTTAAAGTCATATATCGCGGCGACACTGCTGCATCTTCAAATCGATGGCCCCAGATGTCCCTTTAAACGTGGAAATAGGTAGGAATCGCTAGGAGCTAGGTCCGGTGAGTGTGGAGAATGTTCCATTAATTTGAAGCCTGCTTCTTTAATGGCAGCAATCGCAACTCTGAAGTTTTGCGCGTGGGCGTTATCTTGAAACTAAAAACTTTAGTGGATTTGCCACGCCGTTGCTTGCGTATTTCCTCCCACAACTTTCTTATTTATACTGCGTACAAAGTCCTCGTAATAGTGGTTCTATGTTAAGGGTAATCGATCATTACCACCAAGAGGTGGTAATACCAGCTAAGATAGCTGTCTCAGAAAAAACAGTCTATGATCGTACTGGGGGATGAAAATGTCTTGAATTTATTCCGAGTTTGAGATGACGGCCTCTTCAGGAATTGTTTTTTTCATTTCTGGGTCAAAATGGTGTAGCCATGTTTTAGCCATGTTATGAGGCGAATCAACAATCCGTCAAGATCTTGTTGTAACAAACTGAAACAGCTCCGTCAAATTCTCTCCTTATATTAGTATTAATAGCATCTTAAAAATTACATAAAAGGTCTTCTTAAGGATGGGGCAGTAGAATATTAAAATTAAACTATTCTATCTACTAATTGTATTTATTTATTCGCACTTCGTTGCAGGTACACATATATAATACAATATTGACATCATTAAATAAATCGGATGGCAACTGACAGCCTTATCGCTTTGCGATCTCTTCCAGGCAACCACTATACTATGTCTATATTATAAACATATTACCAACCAACAAAGTTATAAAAATATTCATAGCTAGAAAAGTCGTTACAAATAAAACTGTCAGTACTGTCACTTATGAACTCAAGAAAAATGCGCACATAAGTTATGTCAGAAATGGGAACAAGACATTTAAAATTATATTACATATTCCACATATTCTGATAAAAATAGCAAAACTTTAGTGAACTTTACTTACTTTTTAAGACACATCTTGCTGTGCACTACCGGTATCTGGAGCTATGTATTCCGAACCCATTCGACTTGGGTTTCTTAAAGAGTGCGAAAATTCTTAAAAGGTACGCATTGTGGCAGCTATCGAGCCTTCTCGCAGTCCGTGTCTTTATCATACGGTCCATCCACCATGAGTGTTACTTAATTACATCAAAACAGTTATTCTTTTACTTTAAAAAAATAGATGAATTTATCGTTTGTAGTATTGTAATATTGTGTCAATTGAGCAGTGTGGTATGTTAACCTAATGGCTGTGAGTTCAAACCGCACTGGATTATTCTCTTCATGGGGAAATATTATGATGAAACCAGCACATGGGCAGTGACGGGGATTCTGGCACACGGTAGTCAAAGTTCGTTAGCTCTGAATCTTACACTGAGACCTAGGAATCAGCGGCTGATATGCACAGAAGTATTAAGTAAAAAAACATAGAAATAGTTTCGAGGCCCAAGGTCGCACCATTGCTATTTTTTGTTGGGTAATTTTTTTTAACGAATGAAGTTTCTAGTACTAGATACTTTATGCCAAACTAACGTGTATTTAATGAGTAAATTCTCATGCAAAAAGTTTTAACAACCTAATGCCGGCCATACTCGCTACGGTCTACCGGAGAGGTAATCTGTGCAGGTATGCCTGCGCAGGTCAACCGAACAAAGGTAGCGTGTATGGGGACGTTCCGGTGTATCGGAGCGGTCTTCAGTTCTCTTTGCGATGGCATCGAATGTGGACGATGACACGCTGGCGTTGCTAGGTCTTGTTTTAATTTTGAAGAAAAATGATACGAAAAACAAGCGAAGAAAGTGGTGTAAGCATTGGTTATTGAAAAGGAAAACATATAGTCATGTTAATTTATTAAATGAATTGAAATTTGAACCAGAAGATTTTAAAAACTATCTTCGAATGGACGAGAAAACATACATTAAATTACTTAAAATCGTTACTGCTATAATAAAAAAGAAGACACAAATAACAAATCAAACTTAAAACATAAGTAATAAATGTAGATACATTGCCGATTACTATCTTAACAACCTGCGCAGGCGACCGGAGAACACGCACACACGCACAGGTACTCCGTACGGTGTCACTAGAATGAATCGATTTTCGATCTTGGGCCGGTCGCCTGTGCAGGTTTTTGAATCTATTCCCACACACATTCCGGTCTACCTGCGCAGGCATACCTGCACAGGTGGACCTCTCCGGTAGACCGTAGCGTGTATGGCCGGCATTACCTAATAAAGTGGTGGACAAGTGCGTCACCTTTGACAAACGATTCTCAGAAAAATGCCTCTAGAATCAAATGGTCTATATACAATGTAATAAGTCCTCCATTTTTATCCAAGATATTTTAAATAATCGTAAATAATTATACGAATACAGTACTCACAATTACATACATTACATAGTAATAATAAAAATAATGAAAAATGAATAAAAAGAAATTTAAAAAGTTTTGTCCCTGTGGCAGTGTACCTTTAAAGCTGGCAGCATTTCCCCTCTGTATTGCGATACTTATTCGTTGAGCGAGGAAAGCACCAGCTATAGGGTCAACAGTACTATCTATCTGGCGCCAACTTAAATTTTTCATTAGCGCCTGTGCACTTGAACCCCACGGCCCAAGAGTCTCTACTCCAAACGGAACAAAATCGAAGTTGAGGAAAGACTCTTATATTTGAGCCGTTTATTATTTTTCGCCTGCTCTGCGGCCGCCCCAGCTCTAGGTTAAGAAAATTTCAAGTATTTGATTGTTATGTTTAATAAACGATTCTTCCTTTTATATGTACTGAGCCATTATTTAAAACGTCTAAATTGAACCTATTTTAAAGCAAATATATCTCAAACTTACCTAAATAGCAAATAACTAAATTTATCTATTATGTTTTATTTATGATTCCAATTTTAATATATTAACCATTAAGATTGTACGTTAGAATCCCAGATGTGCACAAATTTTGTGGGAAATTTACACTGTCTCGTAAAACATTCTGAGGAAAGTAACATTTCTTGGTCTAGTAAATCGACAGGTATGTGCACAAAGGACTCGTCAAAAAAATCGGGTTCGTAATGAACGTATAAAAGTCGATATCAGTTAATTAAATAAAATTTAATTATGTGACGTAGTCTGTATACTTATAATCCGTAAATATATATAATATATATAGTGAAGGGAATCCTGCCAATTTTTTTATTCATGTAGATAGGTTAATAAGAAGTGGTATGTACAATAAAGAAAATAATGTTTATTCAAAGTTGGTGAAGTTTAATCTAAAAATCTAATAATAATATTCATCGTAGGGCTAAACGGAAAGTTTCGCATGTTAAAATTGTATATTATTCCAAGAAAATATTTTTGCCTTCAAATTTTAAGTAATAAGATATGTCTCTCGTTACCGCTCGCTACACGCGAATAAACTGTTAAAATTTGTGACTTTTTCCTGAATTGAATATTAAATACATTATTAATTTTAAAATTTTGCTAATATCTTTACGTGAGGAAGATAAGATGAAAAAGGTATATTTCTACATGAATGATTCAAGTAATAAGCTTATGTCATTACCGAGCAATCAACATGAAAGTAAAATATTTATAAAGAGAAATAATTATTTCATTTCTCAGTTTTGTTTTTTATTGAAGAAAGCCCCATGTTGGTAACCTTTTTCAACGATGCCTGTATATTCATCGAATGTGTTTGTACTCAATAATACTTTTTAAAACTGACATACATTTTGCTGCTGTAAAATTGCAACTCATTGAAATGTTATCTTTGATACACACCTATTGGAAAGCATGTGGGAGTAACTCCAACTCGACCTGCTCTTTAAAAGCTTTGCTCTAGTTATTTGTTACTGGTGTTACGCGATCTATTTTTAAATTTAAATACCTTCATCTTAAACAAATGATTTCTTTCGCGGAATTGGAACTGATTGAAGTTTTTCTATAATAAGAAAAAGAACAGAAACAAAACATATATGTTGTATGCATAATCAATAACATTTTATTTTAACTAAAAGAGGAAAATAAATATAAAAATCTATATGGATTGGAATTGTAAGATTTCCAAGACGTATTAATTATGGATCTGAATGCTGTCTCCGACACTATTGACATCTTTAAATTTACGCTGAGTGAGTTCCCACTTCCCAGTGAGTTAACGATATTGTGAACCTTATGTATTTTATTATATTTCCCTTTTCGACATTATCTTATTGGTTTAGTACTGTAAGGATAGTGTATGTTTTTTTGTGAATAAATAAGTAATAACATCTTAGGTAGACAATTTCGATAGAATTTATCGTTTGTTTTATCATTAGCAGCAAGAAGGGACGTCACTCTCTGAAAGGATTCGGTTGCTAACTTGCGATGTCGAAGATGAAGCGGAGGAACAACGATCATCACCAGCTGGAGCCAGTGTCGACAAATTCTCAAGCAGCAGTGACAAATCCAGCGACAAGTCGTTCAACGGTGTCGACAAGAGCAATGAGAAGGCGTTCGGCAGCGGTTCATCGAGTTCTTCCTCGTCGACATTGTCGGCTCCGCCCACGCGCCAGCGACCGCCAGACTTGGGAGACGTTCATCAAGAACCACACAAGGTATATCTTTATAAAATATGATCTAAATTATGAAGACTATATCTTGGCTGACTAGTATATATTAATAATAATATATAATGTATTCAATGTAATGTAATACGTCATATATGTATTCACTAACAAATTGAACAACTTATTTACGCATAAACTGAAGGAAGGAAGGAATAAACTGAGTTTCCATACTACAGAATAATACGACTATAACATTTCAGCTTATTATTTTATTGTCTCTATTCATATCTTCAAGGAGTATAGAAGCCGATTTTTTTTAAATTGACTTAACGTTTTGTTAAGGCCTGTATTCACCTGTATTAGTGATTAGGAGAAAACAAGTGTGCACTGCGACTGATTAGTGCAGGTGATTAGTTTTCTGCGTAGTAAAGTGATTAGAAGCGTGTTCTATTTTTTTGCGAGTGAACTGCTAGTAGTGCGTCACAAGCCTTCCCGTGCCAAAACACGTCTGGACAGGCAGCAGGACTCTTCGGTCATCCTGAGAGTAAAGTAATATTCCGTCTTTTATTCAGCAGTCAATTCCTTAAAGAGTTGGTAGCTTGCGCCATGAATGGGGTCTTCTATGAATCCAATTTCGAACCCATACTTTTCTTGGTCTTGCAAGTTCAGCTTTCAAAACTTCTTCAGTTTCAGATAGCACCGCGTTTAATACTTTTTTCAGTACTTCTTCCAATTGCAAGCGCGCTTCTCGATGTTCGTCCATACTTGCTGATTTACAGCTACTACAGAATACTGAATTTACTTAACAGAGCCACTAAAAAAGAATTGGACACTACTTGCGCTTCACATCTGCACTAATCACTAATCAAAGTGAATACAGGCCTTTAAGAAACGCTAGCTATATAGGTTGCAAGAGTTGTCCGCGGTGAACCCTTTGCCATTTCACGCCACTTAAATTGGTGCTTGCTGTAACATCCGTCAAAATTATTCTTAATCATCAGAGATTGTAGCGTCCTCTACAAAAGATAAACTCTTTTCATATCTAAAGTAATACCAAATACGAGCTTAGTTATTTCTTTTGAATATGTAACAGTTGAATAGAAAAGTCCATCAAATTGACCTTAAGCAAATTCGGTTTAATAAGGAAGATCTGCGTTTTGTTCCCACGAGAATGTAAGTGCGACCATGCCTCCTGCTGATAGAGGACAAGTCTTTGTTTTTAATTTATGTTATTATTATTAATTACTTAAGATGTCATGTGGAACATGGTGTAATGGTTGCAGCTCCTTACAAACGTTGTGTAAAAAAAACATGGCGATTAAAAAAGAATGGCGGAGAGTTTATTGCCAGTTCTTCCCTTCCGTTCTACGTCCTTGATTTGAGAACTGGCACTAAATGTAAAGTTAGACGCATTTCATATACATTTCTTTTCGTTTGACGTTCATAAGTGTATATTGTGTTACCTATAAGATTAAATGATTTTGACTTTTTGACTTTTGATCTGTTTTCTCCTATTAGCCTCGACCGGAACCGCGTAGGCAATTCCTGTCAACGCTTGCTCCTCTTACGGCCTGTGTGGGAAATGCAGGTCATCACGAAGGATTCTACTACGTGGCACCAGGAGATCGCACTACTGCTTCCGCAAACACTGAGGTGGACCTGCGTGAGATCAATGATGCTCCAGCCCCAGATGTCATCGCGGGCACACCTGGTAAATGTACTGCCTCTTTATAAATAGCAATATATTGATAAATAGTTCATTTGATAATAAACCAAAAAACATAAAAAGTATAGTAAACTTAAATGATTACGCCCTTATGATTTTCATTTTTATATATTTGGTGAGTATGGGAATATGTTATGAAGTACATTTCATATATCTAGATTATATCTATTTTATTAATCTATGGATGTTATATTATGCAACCGAATGATTGCGGCGAGTATTAATATAAAATATATATAAAGCATATTTCAAAAATATTTTTGATTTCACAATTCGTTGCTTTTATATGAAGAACTACCAATAAAATGTTCAAATATGATTGTTAAATATTAATATAGTAAATTACTTTTGAATTTTACGCGGAAGCTCTGTATTATTTGAACTGAAAAAGCATAGTTGCGGAAATATCTCGCGTACCGCGGTAAATACTGGTATTAAATTTCTCCGCGTACCGACGGAGATGTAATTATAAACTTCCCTTGTTTATTTTATTAATTTATGATAACATGGCGTGAATTGAAAGGTGTTTTAGTCATTTTATTTTGCAATTATAGGATTATACGTTACTTTACAATGATATTTATTATCGTTTCGTAATAATACATTAGATTTTTATTTCGTATTTAATGTTGAGTTACATAGGTATTGATAGCTAATGTATATATACACTAGCTATCAATACATAGAAATATAGATATGATATGATTTAAGACGTTTAATAGAGTTTGACAACTTGTTGTTAACAACAAATTAGGTTTATTTACCTGAAATAGATAAGGAAATGTCAGTAAAGTATAATTATAAATACATAACAAAGCTTAATTTAAAATTAAGAAAATTCTGTTTTTTTTTAAATATTTTATTTTATTTTAATACCTACGCCAGGTCGACCAATCGACTTTGATTGAAAATGTATATATCTCATATACATAACATATATTTTAATCTCATCATTTCTATATACGAAAAGCAATAACCATATACTGACTTGACTTTAAGTCCTATGACCCCAGGTGGGGCAGAGGGCATCCAGCGTAGAAAACCAGCCTGATCGGCACTGGCCTGTCTTAGTTTCACTCCACAATAAGAATTTACACCATCATAATTTATATGACTGTTTGCATTTAGTTTTTAGTTCAAACATTCATACATAATCTAAAACAATACTTTAAAAACATATTTCTTGAGTATCAATTAATTTTTGTTACATAATTTTTGGAAGTTAATATGAAAAAATAAAAATTGCGGCGCCCTGGCAAAAAATATTATGAAAGTGTTTCCGTTATTATTAAGTTATTATCAAGTGTTAACCGTCTTTATACTAACACGATACTATGTGAAAAAATATAAAAAATGTAAACAAATAAAAAAGAAGCATACCATAGTATTTAGAAATAAAATAGTTTAGTAGACGGAATTTTTGATGAAATTTAAATTAGGATTCAGGATTAGACTCTCGCCAGGTCTTTAATTTGACAGAATGATTCGTAGCTATAATGTACCAAATATGTAGCGAACTTTTGAAGTTCCAATAATAAATTTATTAAATAATCTTTTTAACACTATCATAAAAAAATCTTTGTAATAAAATTGAAATAAGAAACACTCAATCACGTGTTTTAGAAACGTTACATAAAAGAACGTTATGGATTTAAAAATTTCATTTAATTACAATGCAATAGTGAGCATGTCTACTTTATTTAAAATTCAAATATACCTTTTCATAGGTGCTACAGAGAATGATGATAGCTTGGCAGCGTTCGCCAGGGCGTCTGCTCCTAGGACAGAGAGATTACGCCAACGGTACGGCCAAGATTCGCAGCCGGTCAGCAGTGATGATGAGCATGATGATTATGGTGAGTTATTCCGCTTACGCATTGTCATTTAAGACTAGGTTCATTGCCAACGTATTTTCTACTTTTTAACTACAAGATGCAGTGTTGGCCTAGTGGCTTCAGCGTGCGACTCTCATCCCTGAGTTCGTAGGTTCGATCCCCGACGTGCACCAATCGACTTTCTTTCTATGTGCGCATTTAACATTCGCTCGAACGGTGAAGGAAAACATCGTGAGGAAACCGGCTTGCCTTAGACCCAAAAAGTCGACGGCGTGCGTCAGGCATACAAGGTTTATCACCTACTTGCCTATTAGATTACCAAAGAAATCTGAGGCCTAGACCTAAAAAGGTTGTAACGCTATTGATTTATATATTAACTTCAAGATGCAACGTTGAAAAAATCGCAGAAGAATCTTAAAGAAGGCCGCGGCAGCGAAGTACTAATAATAAATCTTTAAGTATCTCGAGTACCTACACACTATAATACAGTATCTATATATATACTGCACACGATTGCCAAACATAATGATGGTAAAATATTTTACCCAAATTTTTAAGAATGGTATTCCCATGGTAAAGTGATACCATCTTTAGCTATTATTACGAATATCGCCATTTGTAGGTTCAAACTTTAAGAACGTGTTTTAATATGGTTTCAAAGAAGATAGAGAGACAAGAGTAAGGTAGCTAACAACAAAAATCCCAAGCAAGTTGGTAATAAAATATACTTCCTAGGTTTCCATCGTCGGCCAGCGGTCAGAGGCATAGCAGTAAAGCAGCAGTTAGGCGCTTCGGATGATATTTTGCAGCAGATGCAGAATGAATTGCAGCCTACACCAAGCTCGACTCCAATGCAGATGCCGACTCACGCCTGTCAACGCACTACAAGTGCGAATTACGCTTGGCCATATTACTCTGAAGCAAATCTCAACTCGCGACCGCAGAGCAGGGCTAGTGTTCATACTAATTGGTAAGTACCCTTCCCAAGCTGTTTTCTATGACTAAATTCCCTCTAAACGTACGCTCAGGATGCCAATAGAATCAAAAAAGACACGTGAAATGAATAAACGTAAATAAGATATAAAAAATATAAAAACAATAACGTAATAAAGCTATATATAGTATAATCAAATTGTTATTCATATATTTGGTAGGATTGGCCACTAGCCTAAAACTATAGTTCAATTAACAATTTTGGCAAAAACAATAATTTTAAGAAATTGAGGTACAGATATTTATATGTTCAGTATCGCAAGAACAATATTTACTCCATATTGGTCTAAGATCCCGATATACAACGACCTTCACAAAGATGCTTATTTAATGAAACGTATTTTATATTTAATTTAATCTGTCAATAAATATAATCCATATGGGTTGCCTAGCAAATTTCAGTCCAGAGTATTTTAATTAATATTAAAAAAAAATATTTTTTTTAAACATTTCACCGGCACGATTATTAGATAAATTCTATACCAATCGAAAGTATGAAGCCCATAGAATATGCAAACGTTAGGTTGTTTTTAATCAATTAATTATTTATGTGTATATTTTTTATGTGACACTAAAGTATATATACATCTTTAGTAAAAAAAGAAAGTTATAGTGATACATATATAATACTACCCTGATTAAAAATATTGATTGAAAAAAATTAAAAAAATTTACTACATGCAAATTATAAAAATTTTTTTTTTATAAATATTAATTAAACATACTGAACATAAGCTGAAAGCTTAGATTTTTTTAGTTGTAGTGTCTAGACGGTCTGGTCATTGTCACCAAATTAACTAAAAAATAAGTTAAAGGCTTATATTTATTGAAAGTTCGTAGAGTTGAGTAAAAGTTTAATTGGTTTTAGTCGTAGCTTAGTGCTCTTAAAGCTCTTTAGCGTCTTATGTTATTCTCTAGTAAATTCAATTTGAATATTCAATAATAATGGAACGTGGGCAAATGTTTTTGCTGACAGAAAAAACAATTATTGACGCCTCTGCCTTCCAAGTCAATTATGATTTCTCTATTAAGTATCTTGTTCGATTTTGTTTTGGATTTAGTTTTTAAGTTCCACTAATTCTTCTGTCACAGTTGCCATCCGCGATCTATAATTAATTCTCCCGTGTATTGAACGTGTTAATGCCGAGTTAATTGGTTGGCGTTTGCATTCGCGTATTACAACGTATCCGTATACTAACGAGAATTCTGATTGGATCCCTAATCTTCTATAACAATTTGCAGTGCTTTGTTAATATTTTCGGTTATTTATCGTAGCTCTTCTTTGCAATATTAATCTTTCTTTTATTACGTAAGTCTTAGGTTTATACAACACTTCTTAAAATACATGTGTGAGTGGACTTTAAATGAAATAAACATACTAATAGTTTATGTTAAACTTACCTGGCGAACTTTGCCGCGTAAAGTCAATGTGTTTTTAAGAATATTCGAGAATTTATGAAATTATGGAAATAATACAGTGAATACAAAATTAATATTAGGTTCATTTCTATTAGCGAATTGCAGTACTCAACAATACAATGGGCCGAGGCCAAGACGAGGGTAAATTTTTTACGGATGAAACGCAATAATAATAATATTAGCGGCACGAAGATGTGCAGCGTTTTTTTTCGAAGAAAAGGGAGAGAGCAATTATAAATTAAAATGCCAAGTGTTTTTATTATCGAACAAATAAATTTAAATAAAATAATTTAATTTTTGTACTCTTCTAATATTTTAATGACAATCAAATTCATGAAATTCCTAACATATCTTCATTTTTGCCTCCCCCTAAATCTCGGAAATCTAAAGTTTTAGATTAAGATTAAAAAAAAGTTTTAGATTTGTATAAATATGAACAAGAGATAAAAAATTAGTTTGCCATAGAAGTTTCACTTCTGACATGTGTAGTTTGTATACTATTTCTGAACTCATGCATAAATATTTGATCACCAATAAATATCCTTTTTATTACTGAAATTATTCCACGAATATTGTGGATAAATATTGTCCACTCGTAATATTTATTTCAACACGTTCTTTAGTTAGATAATATAATATAAGAAGATTATAACTGTTTATTAGCTTAAATAAGCTAGATTACAATAGAATAAAAGCTTTAAAAAAAGCTTTTGTTGTTTTGAAATTTTTACATCTGTAGCTTTAATATTTATAAAAGTACGTAATCAAGCTGTGCCAACTTATCAAAAACATTGATTTCGCCGCAAAAAGAACGCTCAGTATTTAACCTCAAGTGTGTTAAGCCCCTCACTTACGTAGGTGTTATGTAGTATCATATTTTATCAATATAAACATTCATCATCGTCATACATTTGAATTATATTCATAGATTAAATTCGATACTTATTAGAAAGTATTAAGAAACAATATTATGAAACGGACCTGTAGCATTACTGAGATCTGCGGAGAGGAGAGACCGTAAAAGGAGAAAACGCGCTCTGTTTGATTTTGATTGGTTAACAGTCCAATCTCAGAAACACGACAGGAGCCCATTATATGTTCGTGAGAGGTCTGAACCCCTTGGAGTCTCCCCTGAGAGGGTGAGAGAGAGAGAATGAAAACTATACTTATATACATTTCAGGTCTACAAAATCTTCAGATTACGTCACAGCCCGTCAGTGCAACTCTACTCCAGTTCCACAGCAACACACAGACGCATGCTACGCACACGCTCAAAACATGGCCTCGTACACACATTACCAACAGCATCGTCAACAGCAAGACAATATGTACAGAAATAATTGCTCACTTTACGCTAATATTGGGTAAGTTCATGATAATCTAACAATCATAACTTTAGGACTTAAGAACTTTTGATAGACAGTTAGATAAACAGTCCAATATCAAGCAATGGTTTACGCATTAAAGTATTATGCAAGTATTATAGTTATCTGTGCGTAAACATTAAATTTAAAAAGATTAGAGAAATACAACCAAAATTGTCGGATGATATAGGTTATTTCTCAGCTACCCAGTTAGTGAAAGGTACCGGCAACTCAATTTTAATATAAAAAGAAATTTAAGTACCTTCCAAATATATCACTGACTATTTACTAAAATCACTGGAATTCAACCGCTAGAAACTTGATAAATAAAATATCACTGAAGCAAATATAAATTGGAGAACTATGCACAATATAGAGACATTTCTCCAACCTTCGCTTTTATGAACTCTTATATGAAATTCTATTCCCAGGTGCTCGGATAGTAGTCAGGAACTTTATAGTTCTCAAACGAGTTCAGAACAAGCTTCGCCTGTGCGGTCTTCCTCTCGATGTCGAAGGCCAGAGTCACCGCCGCCTATCAGAAGTCATCATCAGCTTCTCTACGTGCCATATAGCAACCATTATCATTATCAACATGACTACACCCAACAATGGACCGCTAATGACTGTGAGTTTCTTAATTAATTATTGTTTTCAACGATTTTTCGATAAATAATACGTATATACGTATGTCGTATACGTATATAATATATATATAACTAATGTGTGATGTGATATAACCTAATTTCCCTTTTAGATGGCCGCATGCATTCCTACTATCAGCAACAAACCCGTAGCGGAGCCAGTACGCCTCAACCTGTGTCAGCTCAGTCGCAACCCGTCGCTGCTCAACCCCAGCGGGCACATTATACCCATCCTTTGCAGTTACAAGTAAGCATTAACTAAATGTATCGATCCTAGATATTACCCAGCATTAATTATTGTGTTTTTTTATAAAGAATTGCACAGCGTTCCATGCGCCTAAATCAGAATACTTAATATCAAACTCTAAAAGATATCAAATCTGAACACTGTCTTTTAAATACAGACTTTATGCCCTGCGCCGGCGCGATACAGAACTGTACCCGCTCCCCAGCCTGGTGGAGGCAAACAGATGATATGCTATTCGGAGAAGGTAATTAACATTAACATGATATGTATTATATTATCAATTAAAACACTAACAGTCAAGTCACTATTATTTTCGCTATGTAAATTAGATTTAAGATACTGCTGTTAAATAAGAGTAGCATGTACGAGTAAGTTTAAAATGTTAGTGAATAAAGGGCTTTTATTATTATTATTATTAACAGTGAAGTCTGTGTGGGCCTCGAGAACGCGTATGTGGGGCTGATCAAAAGATCTTTCGGGGCTTTTAATTTATTGGAGCAGCAGCCGCATCTGCATGACTCGTTCACAACATAGTTACACCCATTAGAAAGCCTAGATTATTACAACATAATTTATTTTACTGATGATAAAACATATGGGCTTTAAATAATAAATGCGTTTTTTTTGTCATTATGTAAAAAAATAAAGAAAAAATAAATAAATTGATTTTTTTCAAGTATTTCCTAAATAAATGCGTTCCGTTGTTATAGTTAAGATTCAGGTAGAAGCTTATGCATTTGTGAATAATTGGTACTTACTTGTCACACTGAGATTAACTCGGCACGATGTATATTTAAATGAGATTAAGTATAAACTGAACGAAGTTTTACGAAAGCTAAGCTTATTTATGTTTAGGAATTTAACATATAATTTAAGTTACATTTCTAAGCATGTCTATAATACCATTTACCTACTAATTACGTCTAACACCACCTAAACCGAAAGAAAATAAGAATAATATGTACCTTACCGACATTAAACTGTAGAACGCTTATGAAAGAAACAAGGCTAGAGGAACTGGAAGAAGCTATAAGATTTATCAAATGGGCAGTATCGGTCTCTACGATATAGAAAAAAGAGGGAAGAAATAAAAGAATATGATATTTTCTACTTCTCCGGAGAAAATCAAGATTTATACGGAATTGGGATCCTAATAAAAAATATGAATGTAAATATTTAGATAAAATCATACAAAGAATAATAAATAATGCTTGGAAACGTTACTGTACTCTTAAGGAAATATTTAAAAACAACACAATGACAATGGGTGTCAAACTTGGCCAGCAACGGTGAAAAAAACTATGAAATACTAAAAGTTTGCCAAAGAAACACGGAGAGAAGTATGCTATGCATAAACGAATACAAAATACGAAAGAAGACAAAAGTACATGACGTGCTACAAAAAATCAAGAACATAAAATGACTTCCATTTTATGTTCTTGATTTTATATAGGATAGGGACGTTATAAGAAGCACAAAATAGAAAACAAAAGATGTATTGGAATGGAATCCAAGTGAAGGCAAAACGAAAAGGGGACGTCATGAAAAAAGATGAGCAGATGGTGTGGCGAACAAATGAAGCAGGTTTGCTTAGGACAGAGCAGAATGGGCTTGGAAATGGGGAATGGAATGGGCAAATTGGGAGAGGCTTATGTTAGAAGACAACCTGAACATAAAACTGGTTGCTAAAAATATTGTTAATTGTTTTTTTCTTACGTATTTTTTGTTTGTAACCAACGGTCAGAGAATAGGCTTTATTTAATTACTCCTATATTATGCATACTTACAAACCACTAATTTAACTAATTTGTTTCAAACCGAAAAACCTATAAACAACAATGAAACATGTTCAATGTTCATATTGCAGCTTTAAATTGTGATTTTTTTTAAATTGGTTCCGATTTTCTAGTGAAACTTCCAAATTTTTAGAATTCATAAAATAATACAAACAACTTACGAAATTAATACGAAACTCACGAACAATTATTTGGTTCCTTTAATGTACACATTTTATGTCGAAGTCTAAAAGAAAAGAGAAAAGTAAAACTTCGACTTCCAGTTAGTGCTTAATCAACAAGAAATAAAAGTTTTCTTATCACGTGGCCGCGACGGCGCATTGTAAGCAATGGCACATGTCCTTCCGTCCACGTGAGCCTCAAATAACAACTCGAAACAAGTTCAAACTTCTCTCGTCAATACTTGATAGACTTCCCTGAACACCTAACGTCATCTATATTGCCTGAATGCAGTTTCAACATTTTGCATACATTTTGTCCTGTATCGGTATTATAGATTCTTGCAGTTTAGACCGCTTATCATAGATGGCGTAAAACGTTTTAAGAGAAAATAGCTTTACGTGTTTCATAACTATATTAGTTACGATGAATATTACTAGAGTGCCTTGAGTAGCTGATGGATAATGTGTAAAAGCGAAAAATCAATAACGATTGGGTGTCAAAGATTTGGTTATAGTTAGTAACGAATATTAGATACTTGCGCGTGGTACTTAATTTTTCAATGAGCTCGAACGAAAGGCTCTCATTGGCAAGCCAACTTGATTTACATTTTAATTGGCAGTTTAAATTGAAATCGTAATGTTTTTACATCTTGTAAGGTTTATAAGTGCCTCCACATTCTCTAAAACATTTAATATTTAATTAAACGAAAATTAAGGGCTGTGCGTGATATAAATCAACAAAAGAAATGTTTTGTGAAAACGTATTAGTAGGTACATAAATTTGTGAGCATATACGGAAATTCTTCCTTGTTGTAATACTTTTTACCAGTCGAACTTCGCAAAGTAATAAACTATCTTTGTATTGTCTTTTATTGACATAACATTTACACATTTAAAGGAAACACTTTTTAACCGGATTGGAGTTATGTATTATTATAAATTTACAATTATTTTAAATTTAATCGACGTTTCGCGTGCTTTACAGCGTGCGTGGTCACGGTGACTGAAGAGTGATCAGTGAAGACAAAAGGTGTTGAATGTCAAAAAGTATCACAGCTGTAGAAGAATGTTGTATTATCTGTATTTATTTCCCTGGAGTTGGTATCGACTAAAAGATGGAGGGTTTTGGCAGAAATGGCTCACGGTGTCCTCTATTTTCGCGGATTGTTTATCTTGAGATTTTAATTTGGATATTATTGGATCCCAGGTGTTTGACAATTTTAGGCCATCTTCTCTATTGAAATTGGGTAATTAATAACCCCAGTCGATACCAACTCCGGGAAAATAAATACAAATAATAAAAAAAATTATACAGCTGTGATACTTTTTGACATTCAACACCTTTTGTCTTCAGTCACCGTGACGGGTGACCACGCACGCTGTAAAGTACGCGAAACGTCGGTTAAATTTAAAATTATGTAAATTAATTGTAAATTTATAATAATACATAACTTCAATCCGGTTAAAAATGTTTTCTTTAGACTATCTTTGTATAAGAGGCAAGATATTTAAAATTTGAATAAATAATTTCAGGTGGCGCCTCCAATGTACCAACCGGCACCGGGATCGCCATCGAGAGCGGCTCGGGGTGCACCAGAAGGGGCCCCATCTGGGACAAATGCAAAAACAAACACAACTTCGCCAATGACTGTCCCTCCGAATCCAATATACTATGCTATGAACGTCTGATCTAAGGATTAGGTAAAACAAATCGTATACCACTTCTAGAAGAGAAAATTTTTTTTGACGAATATTACCAAATCCAAAACGCTCATAGTATATAAATAACGCGTTTTAATAAGATGAATGTAAACACTCATAAATTCTACGGCTTAAATCTGTACCTATACATCCCGCTAAATAAAAAACAAGTACGCTTCTCCATGACGAAACCAATAATGTTTCGTCGGAATCGAACCTAGGATTTCCTGCACAAATGTGCACTTTAAATTAGTTTTCCTTCAATCAATCCCATGCATAAAATAAAATTATGAACTAAAATCTAAATTTCCATTGCTTTTTAGGTATTTGGAATACACACCTGAACAAGATGGGGCATGGATATTATATGCTGCAAAAAATACATGATATCGAAGATCTACAACAAAGAATAATCGTTGAGTTTTGTTGTCTTCCGAAATTTGTAATATGTAGTATGATACGGCTTTGTAAAGATCATGAAAGTTGTATTGTGTTCAAAAAATATCAATGAAGCCTAAGAGACAAACCAATAATTTAATTATATTTTTTTCCTAAATTAATTTTCAGGAAAATATATTTACTATCATGTAAAGTTACCATATATTAAATTAACATATAAAAGTAACTCCAGTTATATTAGCAGACTCATTTCTATTGTTATCGTATTGGCGTTAACGTTGTTATTTCTAGGATATTATTTTTAAATTCCACAGATCTTAACTAGCTTTATAGAATATTGAATGAGATATATTTTTCAAACGAATTACAGGACAAAATTATATTTCTATTATCGATTTAATTAAAGTATGGTTAAAAATACCTAGTTATTACTACTATATGTATCGCCAAAGGCAATAAAATTGCTTTAGTTTTTGTATTAATTTGAATTATTTTTACTTGGCCTTTTAACACACGATGGACGATATAATATAAAGGTTGCCAATTCTAGTTCTCAAAGACATTGCCAGATATCATGTTTTAATTTAATATTCCTATTTCTTTATGTTAGATAAACATTTATTTCCACCATTTTTAATTATATGAGGCCTAATTATATGATTGTTAATGTTATGCAAAATGTCTACTGACATTTTAATTTAAATATTGCTTAAGTTAGTGCCAAAGATAATTGAAGTTTAAATAATTATAGGTGTACATTAATGTCGGCCTATGAAGTTGTTAGTACTAGTTAAATGTTGAATTATTTATGTTTCTGTTTATATGAGAACGCACATGGTAACGTAGCTTGAAAGGACAATTTAAAATATAGCTGTTAATATACTTATTATTTATCATATTTTTTTTTAATCCTCACCATTATTTTACGAACGTTCTACAAAGCATATACTTCTGTTTTCAGTTCGTGTTAGGAATGCTGCGTGTTTTAAACAAATTGTGAAAATGTAATTGATGTGATTATACTGAACATTTTCTTATTGCTTTAAAATATTGGCAAGAGTCATATGGTGTTAAAAGCAGGTGGCGATCACCTTTAAACTTATTCATTTTAAGAGTCTTAGACGTCTATAGTAGTCTAGAATTATTGTTTTTAACTTTAAATCTTTATCATACATTCCTAAATGTTATTGTTTGTCTAAAGATAAACGTTGCTAATTCGCTTGAAGCATTTTATATTTTGGATGCTAAGACGTAATTACGCAGTTATGAATGTCTTACGATATGTCAGGTGATTAAGTAGTGTCAAAGACCTCAAAGACAATTAAAGTCTTTGATAGTAATTCAATTCTAAGGCCAAATCAAGGTTTATTGTTAATTACGTTTTATTTGCGTGAGTAGATTTCGTATTTTAATTTGTAAATGCTGTAAATAATATTATGTAAATATAGGCATTTTGAAAAATTTTCGTAAATGCATGTGTGAAATATTTGTTTTTGATTTCTAGAAATCAAAAAGATGTAGATGTAAGTTTCGTTTCATTGCTTTACTCACCGTAGCTGGTAGGAGCGGGGTCCGTCCATCTGATCGTTATTTCGACATGGCTTCTTCCCATCACGTTAGCTTGGCAAAAGAATTTACAACAGTTAAGAATATTTAATTACTTATGATAAATAATTTAAAATATTCAATAATATAACAATACAAACATAGATAAGCGGATATTCCCAATGTGTTAATTTAAAGTTTTAGGATTATTTTGTTAACAAGCCTTTGCCAAGAAAACATCGCTACAATATAATAAAGACTGAGCTTGTTCAAGAAGCCTGAAGCTACGGTGAATTTAGATTACATTAGACTATAGGTTTTACTGAGAAATTGATAGACATTTAAGAAAAATTAATTGAACAAAAATACGAAACCCAAAAATGTATTTTGAACGACCAATCATCACAGAACATTAAATAAAAGGTTAAAAATGTCATATGCTTGTGACGAATGTACTATTTGGCAGTAAGAAAAATAAAGTGTAATTTAGAGTAATCTGTATAAACGTCTTTTCGTTATAAACGTCTGTATAGGGTCTTGTTCGATGGCGTCGTGCCTAGAAGTTATGAATGTTTAAAGCCAATACTTAACAGAATTAAAAAATATATCATTATATAGGATTCATGGTCACCAATGAATAATCTGAAATGGTTTTAAAATCCTGTCAAAAAGCCCATTGCGTAAACGTAGCTAAAACACTTCTTTTTCGTTTTACATATTTTAAGATTTTTAAATATGATATGATAATCATTTATTAAATGTTCTGTGTTATTACTATTATCTTCAGTGTTAAATATATAGAAGGTTAAACAAAAACATAACAACGACGTTTATAAATCGTCCATTGCCGCTTGTGTGTTGTGTACAATGTAACAGAAGATACAATATCGTGCCCGAAGACATGCTCACAGTTGATTAATATACTTTAGTAAATAGTTCATATATACACTAATGTTAAAGAGATCAAAACGTTGTTGATACTGGTTTTATATAACCATTTTTCATTGTACCTTGATCAGAATCGCTCTCACATTCTACCCACACGGGACACATAGGTTTATGTGGTGATTGCGACCTGCATATTGTTTGATTAGCATTCTTAGAATGTTCGAATAACAAATTGTGAGTATATCGGCGCACATCGTCATGACCTTTTTCTTGTTACTGTGTATTGTTGTGTGTTGCTGCTGCTGGATTACCTCTCTTGGTGAATACTTCTTATAAACATTAAGCTTAACATGTAATGCTATAGTAGATATTAATTACAAAGATGTAAGAAGAGAAACAATAATTTTTTTTAAATAAGCTATTGTTAGAGTGTCTTTATATTATTGTTATCCAAATAGGTTCGTTTTTTGTTACTTTGTTCGAAATGCCAGTATATTTGACTCCTGTATATTTGCTAAATGTAAAAGATGTGTACTTTTAAACATTTTATCCAATTATTGTGTGATATACTGTGGCTGTATTTGGAGCATTTAATCAGTGTGGCAATACAGCTTATACAATGACTTATATAAGGGCATTAAAGTGTATAATTTTGACCCTAAAGGGTCAAATAACAGGAAATAAAAGCCTGGATTCGGCATTGATTACTGCGGGATCTAGTATAAAAGTTTTATATTATGTATAATATTGAGTAGTAAAGATTTTGTGAGAGTAGGTAACTTAAATAAGTATCTAGTTGTCTATTACGCATTTTAAAATTATATAAATGTATTTATATTCCACTGTTGGTGACAGAATTAAAAATATGACAAAATTTAGAGAATAAAGATAATGGACGTGATCCATTAAAATTTTTAACTTTCAAAAAGTTTAGATCGACGTTACATAAACATCTTGACCAATAATACATAGTTTGAGATACTATTTTGAAGAAATGCGTTTTAACCGTTCAACCACTTCTTAGTGAATATTTAATAGTGAATACCACTCACATTGGCCTCAATTTATTGTGATCAGAAATTCTCCATAACAAAATTTTATCCTAAACTTCTATAAATTCTGAGTCAAGTAAGTTGACGGGTTTAAACGTATTCAAGAGGGTAAGATTTTCAAAATTAAAATGTTTCAACGTTATATTCTTTCATTTAATAGAAATAAATATGTATTGTGTTAGTACGATAATATTACTATATCGAAGATTATTTTGAATATTTATCGTGGATTTGCTTTGTAGTAATAAGTGATTATTATGTAATAGGAAATGGACATAATGTGACCATTAGTGAATGATACTAGATTTGGTTTAGTTAAATTGTAAGTGATGTGTGACACATTCAACGGACTCGTTTAGTAATAAACTTTTATTTTACGTTGACTCTCTGTAAGCAGATAGATTTTAAATAAATACACAATTGTACACTGCTCTTTTATTAGTGCACTTTCAGAAAGAGGTGCTCTCCTTGTCCTATATAAAAAACAATTGAAGTACTGCGACGGCTAACATTGATTTTATTGTTTTTACATATATTTTAAATCAAATTAAATCAAAATCATTTACCACTAACTCAATGTACACTTATGAACGTCAAAAAAGAAATACATATTAAATGCTTCTAATTTAACATATACTGCCAGTTCCCAAATCAAGGGACGTAGGACGTAGAACGGAAGAGAAGAACTGGCAATAAACTCTCCGCCACTATTTTTATCGCCAAGTTTTTGTTTTACGCAATGTTTGTAAGGAGCTGCAACCATTAGACCATGCTCCAGATGACATCTTAAGTAATTAATAGTTAATTAATAATAATAAGATATGTACTTATATTAAAAACATAGATTTGTCCTCTATCATCAGTAGGTATGGTGAAATAGGAGCAAGCACTTACATTCTCGTGGGAAAAACACGCAACCCTCACGTTACACTACAACCCTTTACGGGCCCTCAAATATTAAGCATAAGTTTTGAATTTGTGAATTTCTTGATCAGCCTGTGTTTGAAATATGTCATGTAAGATTCAGAAACGAGTCAGCGCTATCTACTATGCCGTATATTATAAACGCATGCAACGGAAGCTTATAAAAAGGAAAAAAATCTCGGCTTAACCGTTTTACTCATGCTAGGAGCAGAGCTAGGAGAGATGCTCAGAGCAGCCTACCTCGATGATTAGGGTATCCAACACAATATGTTTTAAGCTATTGCATAGATTTTATCGCGAACTTTGAGCGCGGCGACCGAATCAAGAAATTCCGTAACGAAAACACTTAACACACGATGACGTAATATAGGTGCGGCAAATACGCGTTAGAGTGGGACAGAACGCATACTGCGCATTCCCATCTCTCTGACGAGATCGGTGACGTAGCGTGAGCGCGGCCGGTGCAGCCGGTACGCGTTAGAGTGAGACAGACTATATAGGCGTTTTAGTCTGAGTCTGGTAGAGTGGTAGATTGAAATAATATCAAAGAAAAAAGTTGAATTAATATCAAAGAAAAAAAAACTGCATAAATGAAAAATAAATAAATGATTATAACTGCATAAGTTGATAAAAATGCTATGTGATAGCTTTACCGCGCCAGTCCCCGAGTGCCACACGTTTTTTTTTATATCATTCGGAGCAGTAGTTGCTGACCTTCAATTAAAGAAAAAAAACACCGATGATGGAGGAGGTTTCGGAATCAAAATCTAGACTGGGTATCCACCCAATAATCCTGGGGCCAAATTACATTAAGTCCTACATGTCCTATATCTAATCTTATTTATGAAACTGGACCCTGCGCTGCTTGTTTGTAACTTAATAAAACACTATTTTGACCGGATTGAAGTTATGTATTATTATAAATTTACAACTATTTAACATAATTTTAAATTTATCCGACGTTTCGCGTGCTTTACAGCGTGCGTGGTCACGGTGACAATCCGGTCAAAATAGTGTTTTATTAAATGAATAAAAGTTATGTTAATCAAAGACAATACTTTGTTTGTAACTTTTAATATTGATAGCGATACCTGTTCTGATGTTTAGTGTGCAATTTCGATGTAGTCCTCTCAATACCCGTTATGCTAAAGACCTAAGGAGAGTTCGACACAAAGTTGAACAGGGCGTGTTACAGAATTCGTCCTGGCGCTGCAAGTAAATTTCCTTTATCAAAATCTGTCACCTGTTTCAGTATATTATATGCCCGTTTCCTACTCTTCCCCTCATCCCTCTTTCGAAGCCTCAAATGAAAAAAATATTTCGCCTAGGCACCAACTCAGATCTTTAATTTGCGCCTGTGAACTTGAAACCTAAAAAGAGTCTCTACTCTAAATCAAAGTTGGGGGAAAGACATATTATATTAGACATATATATTTGAGCTTATTATCAATTTGAATAGAGCTGCTTTACGGCCACGAAGGTTTTTTTCTTGTCTGTTGGAGCTCCAAAATAGTTGGAACATTGACAGAGGCAAGGGAGCGGCGTATGCTGTCGATGAGCGCAGCGTGACGAGAAAAACGAGCTGCGGTCTTTTGGCAATGGAAGCCAAGGTGGCCAAAGCTACTTCAAAGCCACAGGGACACTTATGGGGAGTACATATGGGCACGCTTAAGCAAAAGCTGATGGCAATTCAAAGTGATTCAGGGTCCAAAAGGGTTCCAGTGCGATGTTTCTAGACCCCACTGCCACCAACCTTGCGGTCTGTAATTGAGATATGAACTAATAAGTTATGGAATTCAGATATTGTTATTGTTTTAATCGCGTTAAGATTATTAAAAACAATGTTTACGTAACAGTGTAGTTCGAACCAGACAAACGTTTTTCAAGATCCTCTCCTTTCCCCAAATTCGTTACGTAATACTTGAACGCTCCCTAAAACATAGTGCATTGTGTTATTTTGCCTCGATATTACTAATAAGATTCATGTATGTATCGTATTTTTTGGGAAAAGTGTTTTCGATAATCCAGTAGAAAACTTGTCATGCAGCGTAGGAGCCGAGTAAATGGAATGTTGTCGATTTATGTTAGAAAATAATTCCTGCATACACCTATAGTTATTATCATTATATTTGTAAGAATAAATAAAAACAAACATCAAAAATATTCATTGTTAATTAACATGGAAATTTCCACATTCACATACTGTGCGTAGTGTTTTTTCATTGTCATATAGGTATTTATATTATACAAATTGTACGATTTAATATATTTATTTAAAATAAATATCCTTATTTTACCAAGTTGATTCTTAGTTCCCAGATGTTTGTAATCGATGATCGTAATATACTTATACCAACACGTGAATTGTCTGAAAAAAGTGATGCAGTTATCATGCTTTCTCTTTCACAGCACGTGTTCACGTGCGTCTGAGCGTGAACCGTAGTGATGTCTGAATAATCTTACAATGAACTTTATTCGATTCTACGGCAATCAGTTTGTATTACTTATAATTTTAGATTACAATTGTTATGGAGGTTCATTTTGTAATTATGACATTTTATATTAACTCGTTAGAAAAAGGGAATATTGCTTTTTACATGTTTATTATCAAAAAATAACTTTTTGTAGTTATCAATGTGCAAACTTAGACTCACAGGTCTACCATGCGGGTTCCCTTATGATGAAAGTGCCCATTTTATGCCATTTGTCATAATTTAGTACTTATAGGAATATGTAATAGAAACGCATTCACGCTAATTACCTTTTATGTATACTAATTGATCGATAATTCGATTCAAGCGCCATTTCTAAAATCGTAAATGATGAATTTACCTAGAACATCACTACGCAAACTGACAAATACACTCAGCAAATGAGTGAGTTAACTTATTCAGGTTCCATATCGCGTTGGATAAATATAAATTAACCAAAAGACGTAAATTCAGTTTATAAAATACTTAATAAAGTTTGGTGTTTTTCAATTGCGCAGCATAAAAATAAAAAACGAGAGTTAAAGTGTTCCATAGTGCAGGTTTTTTTTATTTGCCTACGGAGATAAACTAGGATTTAAGATTTTTTAATAATACGATAAATTAAAATATTTTATATTGAACTATTAAATCTTCTAAGTATCTGAAACATATTACTTATTATGACAGTGGATATAACAAGAATAATAACATTGAGTTATTTAAATCTCTTCCCGGTGCTAAATTAGAGGAAACAATGGAAAACATGGCTTTTAACATGATGAAAGGTAAGTTTTTATTTTGTCGTCAATAAAATATGCAATTAAATCATTCTAGCCACTAAATAGTTCTTAAAAACCTATACTATGTATTTAGGTAGGATATTCTGTTAGATTTTACAAATCATGGATTATACTAATAATCAATCATCCTTGTGTATGTGATTTTTGTATGAAGATAATAATTATATGCTATGTTTTTTGACTTTTAGAAGTATACAAATGTTGACATTAATAAACATTTTGACTTTGACCAATAGGACTTGCGACAGACAATTTTTTAATTAGTTTTGTTGTTAATGATCAATGAATGCATCAGCCTTCTGTCTTTCGTTGTGCAAAATAATTGTTTTTCTGCTATTGTACTCAGAATGTCTGGCAAAACCATAGTCTGTTTAAACTGATAATACTTAGAGATTTAATGCTACATTATACATCTGACCTACATTATACGTTGGAACTAAAAGCAGCTATCTGTAAAAAACCAAGTCTGTAACCTGTTAATTTAAACATGGAAGTTTAAAAAATTAAAGGCAATATAATATAGTTCCTATGGACAATAAACAAAGGGGTCTCCATATTTTTTCATTTTCTTTAATTATTATTTTTTGTATTTTCAAGTACATGTAGGGCATCTGGTGCCTTCAAATCTGATAAAAAATATTGTTTTGCATTGTTGATTGTTGCTTGTGTAACTAATCTTCAGCAACAATTGCCATATAGTCTTCTTCATACTAATATTGTTGATAAAGTTTAATGTGAGCTGTGCGTCCTGTGATTTTTTAAATGTAAATAAATACACTAATTATAGTTGAATCTGGATGTAGATTTAGTGAAGTATACAATATTAACAGTAAACCAGTCTTCTCAATGCTGAGTTTTTTACCTTTACATAATATTAGGTAAAATATGTTTAGCCTGAGAAAAATATTTCATGGTAAGGCGATGAGATTTCCTACAGAATAACATTTTTTTGTTTCATTGAATTGTTTTCTATAGATTCTGAATCTGTGGTCTCTGATCAAAATGTGATTTTTGTAATATTGAAGAGAATTACATTGCATACTGCAGTTGTTTTATTGCGAATTGCTTTTGCGAGTGTAGTATGAACTTGTATAAATTTGATATTTGATTCAAGGAATTAAAACCGAAATTAGTACAAAACTTATTACCATTGTCATATGAAGTGTAACTCCATATAACGTAATTACTTAACTTTGGTTGGTTTACCCTGTCCCTCATAAATTAAAGTGATAATTTACTTCCATAGTCGTAACATGGAACTCTAAAACGCTAGAAAATCTGCAGTTCCTTTGGCGTCGCTGTATAGAGAATACAGTATATTAAAATAAACTTGAAACTGGTAAAAGACAACTCATTAAAAAAAGATTTTACAAATAGACATTTTGACATATAAACTGCTACAAAGTTATATAAAACACACATAATATAACCCAGTCTGTAGGTAAAACCGTTCAGCCGTTTACTTATACTTATATATATATTATATATATACTTATAGTCAACGCACCTGAATACGGCTAGACAAGCACTTCAACGTGGGTATAATATAACAATTATACGTACATTTTCCTACCACTAACGTCTCGACGGAAACTTAATATATGTACGTAGGTTGTCGGGGTGACCTCTGCGCGATTGTAAAGCATATAAATAAGTGTATTGAAATTGTTTTATCTTTTATATTTATAGCGTCGGAGAATAAAGTAAACAAAAATATGGATAATATTGATGACTCGGAAAACAATGCGAAGGTCTCCGATTCGGCTTACTCTAACAGTTGCAGTAACAGTCAGGCAAGAAGGTAAGAATTAGTATTAACTGTTAAGATAATGATGTGGAATAAATAAACAATATGTCCTAAAATTATCATTATTGGTAATGTATTTTTATGTTGCGGTATTCTATGTGTTAAAGATACCAGTAATTTGAGAGAATCGCCGATTCTACGGAAATTACAGTTATTGTATTATTTTAAAACTCTGTTCTTTAAAATCTCTCAGTATATTGGAGAGACAAATTAGAAAATGCGGTATATCCGGCGTTCATTGTTTTCCCGTACGAAATTACAGAACTTCCAATAGCGATACGTTTTTGTATGCAAGATGGATGTAGTTTTCTCAATATTCCTAGCGCTTATGTCGCAACATAGGGATCACACGGAATAAAAACTAAAAATTCATTATTGGAATCCGTGTCGCTATTGGAAGTTACAGAGGCTAAAATGCCAACGGTTCGTTTGCCCGAGATCGAATGTGGCCCAGGTTGAAAGTTAATGTCAGCCAATTCAGAATAATAAAGGCTTAATTAATGAATAATTTTTTTTAGCCGAAGCTCACAGTCGACGCATTCAGGAAGTCATTCCAGCGGTAGTAGTGGATATGGAGGAAAACCCTCCACTTCAGGATACAGGTGCGTACTAATTTACCTATCAGTTCAAATTTATTTTTAAATAACTTCAATACAGGGCGTCATCAGTCTGTTCTGTATGTAAAATATAATGTTTGATCTGTTTGGGCTTCCAAGCCTTTATTTTGTTATTTGTGTAACCGTGTTTGTCGACAAGTTTCGGTCAAACTAACTGTGAGCGTACACTTTATCATTTTGCTTATTGTAGTGTTGTTAAATCGTGAAAATATTTTCATCTATTCCGTATCGCGACGGAAGGCGTTTTGATTGATCCACTCTCTTCTCAATTATTAAGATTGATTTAGGGCATCTCTTGTATATCGACGATAAGCACCGAGCTTCAGGTCTTGTATAATACGCGACAGAGTCCTGAGATAAGATTTTTTTTCTTCCTAATGGGGTTCGACGAATTCTAGCATTAACAGCCTTTGTAGTGCTAACAGCTCGCGGCCGCCTCGATCTTTTCTTATCTTCGACAGACGAAGTGTTGTATATGTTGATAGTACGATATACGAACATACGGCTGATACCAAGCTTTTGAAGTGTCCGCAATATGACCGACGGCTCCATACCCACTTTGTCTAAGGCGATCACTGCAATACAATTTTCTTTAACACCCCATTTATTGTAAGAAACAATAATTCTTTTAAGGAAAAGAGTCAGTAAGTAAAACTGTTGGAATTGAACAAAACTTGTTTAAAATAAACGAGAGATCATAAAAGTAAAGTAAAAATGTTTTTTTGACCGGGTTGTCATGAGCATTGACGAACCCGGTCAACTTTGGAGCACTGTAACAGCGTTTCAAATTAACGAAATTTAAAAAAATATAGAGGAAAATCTTCAGAAAGAGATCCTCTACAAAATTGTGCTGATTTAATTTTTCGATAAAATTAAAAGAAAAAACGTTATTAAGCACAAAAGGAAATTTTTAGTAATTTTGTAACTTGTAACTTTTTTAATTTTAGATTTATGATAAAAATCACACAAACATAATTGTAGGCAAAGCAATTTGCTACAAAATATGTACACAAATTGTTTACAGATTTCTTGTACGATGGATTGTTTATAGGAGATATAGCCAAAAACGTTTTCACCTCTTTTTCCAAGATGGCTGCCGGGGTACAAGGGCTCCAACCTCACAAACTTGGGTTTTAGCTTGTATTGACCCCCCCCCTACATGTCCCATAAATTAAATTGCGTCCTCTAAAAAATGTTCAGCCCATGTACCATTTCAATGGACTACCATTCCGTATTGTAATCTGATAATGAACACGAAAAAATGTGTGAAATGGCGCAAAATCGAAAGAAGTTTTTGAAAGAATATACGTGTTGCAAATTCAAAATAATTAAAAAATTTAAAAAAAAAATGGCCAGACTAGTTTTTATATTTTTGTAACATTTATGTTTACCAAAATTGTCATATAGTTTAGATACTATAGCTTGAAAAATATACCATAGATATAGTATTACGTATGATGTGGTAAACTTTAATTAATAAATTAATACTTGTGCGATATTCGAAAATATATAATGCTCAAAACAATTAGCGGAACAAGATTTTTCTCCTTTCTATTGCTTAAACTAAAATTAGATTTAAATTAACTTGTACGCTATTTTTTACCTTGTTAATTTGTTAATTACTACAATTAATAAAAAAATTCAATTTGTATTTTTTTTATTAAAAAAAAATTAAAATGTGCATTGTAGACGAAAAACTAATTGGTGATAAAAAAAGGTCCATCAAAGAAATATTCTTATATCGTTTGAATATTCGTCTTTAGTGACTTTCAGTAACGTGTGTGGCCTCTATGAGCCCTAATCACGGCTTGACAACGACGCGGCATGCTTCGTATGATCCTCCGAATATCTTCTTGTGGAATTCGCTCCCATTCTTCAATCAACGCTTCAGTGAGCTGCTGCAGTGTTTGAGGTGCAATCGGACGCTTCCGGATGCGCCTGTCAAGCAAGTCCCAAATGTGTTCAATTGGATTTAGGTCAGGGCTCATGGAAGGCCACTCCATTACACGGATTTCCTGCTGTCGTAAGTAATCTGACGTGATGGCTGCAGTATGCGGCCTGGCATTATCTTGCATTAAAAGATAATCTGGGCCCATACCATATGCTGCGGGCCAAACATGATCTTCGAGCACATTTTCAATGTAAGTTTGAGCACACAAGCGCCCGGGAACAACGACGAGATCTGTGCGCTCGTCCAAACTAACTCCGCCCCAAACCATCACAGAGCCACATCCAAATTTGTCATATTCCTGGACTGCTGCTGCACTGTATCGCTCGCCTGGGCGTCTGAAAACACGGAGACGACCATCGCAACGTGTTAGACGGAATCGTGATTCGTCAGTAAAAAGCACTGGCCTCCAATGTCGAAGTTGCCAATTAGCGTGATTTTGCGCGAACTGTCGGCGAGCTTGTCTATGTTGAATTGTTAGACGCACAGCCCGAACTGGTCGGCGTGATCTCAAATTGGCTTCCAACAACCTATTTCTTACCGTCTGGTCGGAAATTTCTACACCAGTAGCCGTCCTTAGTGTATTTTGTAGATCTCTTGCAGTTGTGGTGCGGTTACGTAAAGCACAGTTGACGATGTAGCGATCTTGCAAACGTGTAGTTTTTCTCTTTCGACCTTGACCACGCCTTCGTGAGTATTCTCCCGTCTCACGGTATCGCTTCCAAAGTCTGTAGATAACAGAAGGGGCTACTCCTAGATCATTTCCTACATAACGCATAGTTCGACCCTCTTCAAGCAAAGCGATAGCTCGGGAGACATGCAATTCAGTCAGATCTGGCATTATGACCTAAACTCACTCGCTCCAATTAATAACAATACTCAAAAGGCTCACTTCAATTTCTATTAATACTCAAAAGATTGAAAAAAACTACTTAAAATGTGTTATCTGTGATTAGAAAGTAATGAAAATTCAAAGACGTCACTTTGTTTTTAGGTGTTTCTAGACACACTGCCACTTTATTATAGGACTACTAACCAAAACGCCGATGCTCTTTTGTTTTTTATTTTCTTCGACAATGCCTTAACATTATCTAGTGGCCAGTAATAATTAAAACCTTAAGTAAAAAGTTTAGTTCTACTTTAAAGTTTTGTTCCCGTAATTGTTTGGAGCAGTATATTTTATCAACGTGATGCTTGAACAACGTGAACGCTGTTAGGATAAAACATGTGACTGTAAAGTTTGCCTGGGACGGTTATAGCGCTTCCTTGCACGTGACCAGATTCAACTGGTACTGGAAACGGATGAATTTCTACGGACTCAAAGGGCCACCTTTTTTCTGATGCTATAAATAAATTATTGTTTATATCCGTTTCAGTGACTACTTGCTGTGTGTAACTATGGTCTTGTTATGCCTGTCATCTATATATATATATTATGCCTAAGATTACTGTATATTTATTGTAATCTCTTATTCCATTATTGACGGATATTTTCTATATTATTGGTGGCGGATTTGCGACCGTACCTTTGCCCATGATTTCAATTATACTTCAATTTTAGGGTCCGCGAGATCCTTTAATCGCTGAAATAGGTAGAAATTAGGAGCTAAATACGGTGAATATGACGGCTGTTCCATCAATTCGAAGCCAGCTTAAATGGAATCCATTGCAACTCTGGACTCTTGCGTTATCTTGGTGAAACAAGACAACCTTAGCGAGTTTGCCTCGCCGTTGCTTGCGTATCACTTTTCCAGCTTATTTGTCCTGCGTACAAAGGCTAATTAAGGCTCCATGATTAAGGTCTCAGAAAAAAACAGGCCATGATCTGTCTGGCGGATGTTATCGCCTTAAATTTCGTTGGAGTTGGTCATTCTCTCCCAAGTCATGGACTGTTCTTTTGTTTCCGAGTTCTAATAGTGAAGCGTTGTCCATAGTTATGAATCGAGTAACAATCGGTCAAGATATTATTGTAACAAACCCAAAAAGTTCAGTGAATTTCTCAGTCTCGTTTGTCAGAAAGCATTTTAGCCACCCACTGCTGATTATTTCATATTCTTACCCAAATGGTTGTGGCGATGGTCTATTTATATCTAGAGAGAGTTATACTTTGTGGTGTTTATTACGACATTTTCGATTACAATGTTGATTTAATTTTAAATATAAATTTGATCGAATAAGACATTGAAAGTTACAATAATTTTTATCCGTAAAGTTATGAATGGTATTGATTCGTTGCAAGAATATTTAAAGTAAAGTACTCCTTCCGTAATGATTTTAGTGACCTTAGCATATTATTTGCGTCTTCACGTGCGTTCTCATAGTTTAATGCTTTTCCATACAAAGAATTTCATTATACGGCCTTTATTAAGTAGTTCGTTCACGTGTGAAATAAAATTGTTATAAAGACATAATATTTCTTAACTCATGAATATCTTTTTTATTTAACAGTAGCAATAACGTAAGCCAACCTCCAGATATACGTTGTAAGATAAAGAAAAAGAAGAAGCAACTAGAAATTGATACTGTAGCGATTCAAGAAGAAAAGCAGACGGTGCCAGATCCAGAACCTGAAATTAAACCAATTGAAGAACAAAGTAATGATGATGGTGCGTGACTTCTATAATTACTATTTAATATTTTTAATTACTCAAATTTGTATGAGGACACAGATTTTTTTTACATTAAATTTCAGCGCCTTTTTTAAATTATAATGCTTTCAGTCGTGTTTATTATGTAGGTATGATTTATTTCGAAGACACATACTCACCAGGACTTTAGTTCTTCAAAAAAAATAGTAGTAATATGTTCACGGTAATATACGTATACCAAAACTGTTGGACGTTAATCCGATAGTTAGGTACTTAATTTTTCATTTAAGTTCTATTTTCATGACGTATTTTATTAAATTTATAAAATCTTTTACCACATTTATTTAGTTTAAAGAGTTAAATAAATGTCGGATTTTAAACGGTACAAAAGTTTTTAAATAATTTTAAGGGCACTCGCTTGAAACAGCGGTCGATGAACATGGTTTATGAAGACTTATTTAATTATATATAACGCTATGTAGATTTACAATATCTTGGTAAGATAATAAACCCAGGCCCAATACATCCATTTACAAAAACAATATATTAATTACATTTTATTTCATTATCTCCTGTTAAACGATATAACAGTTTCTGTATATTGCGGACCTTCGACCAAGTTAGATTACAAAATATTTGATCCAAGAATTTTATTTGTTTGAATCGGTTGGCTCTGACTTAAAAACATTCTCAATGGTTTGAAGAGGAACTTGGAGTTCCTCTAAAATTAGGCAGCATAGTTTTATTTTAGATTTGCAAACGTATCAATTACATTGAAAACTGAAAACATTACTTTCAAAACGTCGATGTTCTTCTGATATTAAAAAATCTATTAACGCAGGTTTATAACGTGCTTCATGCGCGAATATTGTAAGAGTTATTTAAGCTTTACGCTACCAAACGTTTAGTTAAATTCAGTTACAATGCAGAGTGCAGCTTGTCATTCGAGACAACACTGGTATTCCAAGACGCTAAGTGTGCCTCTTGTATTATTATAAACCCTATTAGGGTCATTAACCCGTAGTGGTAAGATATATTTAAACCGTTATAAATCGAATGTTTTTATTAAAATAATCATTTGAAAATTGAACGAAAATTTAAAAATAGTTAATATCTTGTCTTCAATATGTTCATGCAGATGCTAGCTCACCTGGCGTGCAGCAAAATGACGTATCGCAAGTTGAAATTAATGACCAATCGACTATAGACAGAAGTAGTTCAAAGGATAAGGTAACTAAACTAAGATTACAACTCTTCGTTTCCGTCTCAGATTTCTGTGTCTGTTTTTTGGATATGTTTTGTTTCAATAGGCAAATAGGTGATCAGCCTTCTAAGTCTGACACACGCCATTAATTTTGAGCATAAGAATTTTTCGTCGCCGACATCAATGTAGTTATAATACATGTACTGAACTCTCAATCATTAACAATGTTGACAGTTCGTGTTAAATAGTAGGCACAGTTATCTGGTAGTTTCGAGTATTAAAAATATTAACGAATGTATAATCACATATATCAAGATCTTAAACACTCTCAGACTTCAGGTCTAGCTTTAATTCTAATAAAAAAATTATGTTAAAATCGGTTCCATTGAAAAGTGTCCAATAATATGGCCTCTGTATCTTTTTTGTATTGGGTGCTAATGATTTAATTTTTTTAGACAACTTTGTGCAATATCCCGATACAATCACCAATAAAGACATTGTTGGCCAATAGTGTGAGTACTTTATTCTTACTTATACCTAACGATTAGTTTCCCTGCCCATATTTCATTTCATTCATTTTAAACGTATATTACTTCGTACTATATTGCCCATTTGTTATTTAATGTATAAATCAAAATCCTTTTTCTTTTAGAACACAGCAAAGAGTGATCTACTGTAAAATAAAATTACAGTGAAACTAATTTGTAATAATCTCGTTTAAATGTTATATATAGGTTTAATTGTTCCAGGATGGGTTTTCGTGTGTGATATCTATGCAAGACGGAGTAGTTATGTACACAACAAGTTCCCTCACAAACACATTGGGTTACCCAAGGGAAATGTGGATCGGACGGTCCTTCATTGACTTCGTACATCCTAGGGTGAGTTGATAATTGCTTTATTAACGTGACATAGGAGTCGGATTAATCATCATTGAATTCCAACAATAAAAAATTGAGACTATTGAATATAATCATACAGGTTTGAGCACTTTAGATATTGTTATCATATTCATATTAAGCGTCGTGTTACCGATCCAAATATGCTTCTTCTTACAAAAGTCTATAAAGTAGGTTGATACCGTGGAGTATGTATTTACTACTAGGGTCTAGGGTCACATGTTGAGCCTCTAACATGTGTCGTACACTGTATACATAATTCATAGTCGGAAGTGTGGAATAATCGCAATTTTGCAGACATTGTCAGGATTTAGTGGAATTTGTTGATAGGCTTTAACTATGACCAGTGTACTGAACATTAACACATCTGGAATGATTTTGGGAAAAATCTCCTATCCGGCCCGGAATAGTGTGAGCATTCAATGATTTAAATTGCAATGTAATCGCAGCCAACAAGTTTTATTAGCCGTAGCGGCCTGAAAAATAATCAGCAATCAAAAACGCTACGTTTGCTACATCATGTAATAAACTGGCTAATGCGTAGGCCATTCGTACGATAGTCATTATTTGACAGAAATGAAAAAGGTGAAACATATGACATAAAATTCATTCATTTATTCAAAATCACAGCTAAATTCACATTATTATTGGCAGTACACTCTTCCATTGTACTTGTTATTTTTCATGAAACTTTGGAAAACACTATCAAAGTTGTGGTTTGCCGACACCGTATTGACGTCATCGATCCAAGTCATTTGCCTAGCTGTATCATCAACTGGCTGATGTTCAGCCGTTTAGTTAAGAGGCTACACGGGCTACAAGGCTACACACGGGTAAACGGCGCCATTTAGTTAAGAGGCTAGACTGTTGATTCTACGGCTAATTAAGCTAGTTGGCTGCGTCGGTGATTATCACCACATTGGCGATAGGTGTTTTCGGCACAATGTAAAGTCCAGAGGATAATGCACTGCTTGATGGTCTAGCTGTGCCAAATCTCAACATCTTATCAAACTCTTTCTTAACTGCACGAAGCTATTGTGAAGCGATATGACGTAGTCAAGCTGACATAGGTGAACCACAGAGTATTAATGAAATGCTTAGTAGACTGTTCGAGTTGCTCTGCGGTGAAATGGAATTTAAATCATTCTGTTGCGTAAGCAACGAAACGTTTACGTACCAAAATTAATTCCTGTTGCGAAAGCGGGAGTGTGCGCAATTACGTTTGCGATATTGCGACCAACACGTGCGTTAGCTGTGTGAGCGGTAAAGAGCGCCTTTAGGTGTGTGATTCTTTGCCTGCTGATGAATTTTTTTACCTTTGTATAGCTAGGAACTTTAACCGTGTTAGCGGATTGTACTGACTGACATCTTTAGTCTAGATAGCTTAACTGCGCAGTTTAAATATCTCTAATATTTTCTTAACACCTTATTTATCCATGCCATCATGTTAACACACGAGAAACGAAAAAAATTAACTAAAATTAAACAAGAACATTAAGTTTCTTATTTTGCATAGGTACGCAAATGCCAGTGTATAACAATCCTTATAAAAAGTTAAATACCAAGGTTAAAACTTCAAGAAAAGCATTGCGACAACTTCTCAGGCACGTTTTCTAAAAGAGAATTTGATTATACCCTGAGACGGAAAGTTGAGTTTTTTCAAATAAAAACGTGAACGAGCCACAAAAGGTACTAATATAATGAAATGTTTTTGCACAATACAGAAAGTTTATAACCAAGAATTTAGCAATGTCGTGTATATGCTTTTGGTTGATAGTCGCTGTAAGTGGCTTCATCTGTGTTGAGTAAAACAACTAGCGATTTTCAATGAGCCTCTACACTTTGATCCAACATTGTCACTCCAATATTATTATTATTATTATTATTTTACCTGTACTATCATGCTGTTGTTTTTTCTTACAAGAACATTTAAAAAGTAGCTCTAAGTAAGGAAGTTTGCGAAGTATAATTGCGTGCTTCAACGATACACTGTGTATTGATGAGCACGTATATACGTGCTGATTCAGGTATCGCGTCAAATAGTCCATCCCATCGGTCTACAAGAGATGAGTTTTATTAATATCATCTGCGTTGGTCAGGCTCAATAATCAGCAGTCGGGGTCGTATATGTCTGAAGGACATAAAAAGAAAAAATAAGTACCCAATTATTGTTTTAACACTTCGTTGCATTACAAAACACACAGAACACTTTTTTAATAGAACGGGGCAAGCGGGCAGGATGCTCGTCTGATGTTAAGTGAACGCCCATGGACACTTGATGCAAGAGGGCTCGCGAGTCTTAAGAATTGGTACGCTCTTTCTTGAAGGACCCTAAGTCGAATTGGTTCGGAAATACTTGACATAGTGGAACAGAACACACTTATCGCTTTAAAGCGATCTCCCACGCAACTATTGTAAGGATAAATAAATTAAAAGATAGTACTTCTTTATAGTTGAGTTGAATATATTTTTTCATCGCAGTGTATAAGTATAGTATTTAATTTAACTTGAAAACCTGACAGGATGTTCAAATCGATAATATTCGTTTTCAGGACCGAAACACCTTCGCATCGCAAATAACGAACGGTGTTGCTATCCCAAAAATTGTACATCGTACTCATCACAAAGGTAACTTTTATTATAATATAATAAATTCTGCCCATTTTTTTATTTTTTTATTTATTCCGTGCTTGGTGTCCGTCTTTGCATTGCTGTGTATGTATTGTCTTACATTAAAATAAACTTCATATCGAACCCTTGAAAATTTTTTTTTTAGTACATGATTCTTACTGCTTCACTAGCATTTTATTTGCGATTTCGAATTATCGTTGTTCAAGATTTAGGTACTTAAAATTAACGACATTTGTCAGTAGTAAATTATTTGTTAAATCCAAAGCGTAAACTACGTAAAAATCTTTTAGAGTTATACTTCTTAAGTAGAATAATAATTATATTGTCTTTTTACCAATGAAATATTCTTATGTACAAATGAAAATTTATTTACCTTTTGTCGATTTCAGATAATATAAAACTTTCGTTTTCGACAAGTAGCACACTTTCCACTATGGTGTGTCGACTTCGCCAATACCGTGGGCTGGGAGTTGGATTCGGTGTAAAGGCTGGAATTGTTTCTTTTATGCCGTTCTTACTTAAACTATCCTTTAAAAATATAAGTGATGAGGAAGGCGAGGTTATATATTTACTTGTGCAGGCAACTCCGTTCTTTCCAGCTTTTAAAGGTACTGTTTGTTATTTAACTCAGGGAACTTACAGCGTTCTAACCCGGCTGTGCCAATTGATTTCCCATTATATATGTAAATAACTCTAGCTCATATGGTAATGTTAATATCGGAAACCGTTTGACACACAAATTCGACATCGTGTCTTGTAATTTCTAACATACAAACACTACAAAATAAATTAAGAAAAGCACTATTTAGAAATTTTTTTAATACAGGCTAATAAAATCTACCAAGAAATCAAAATTATGATTAAACAACTATATGTTTATAGCACCTGTATCTTAAATTTAAAAAGAAACAACAACTCTCTCCATAGTAGCTTCATTTAAAAAATTAAACACACCACTACTCGCAATACTCGTCGAGCGAGTTTGCTTATCTTGCCGAAGCCGCGTACAAATTATTTGAAGAAGTCTATTAAGTATGAGGGTGTGCAATTATTTAATCAATTATTGTCTTAAATTCGTAATATTACATTGGGACGGCTGATGGCTACGTGTATCTCGTTCGTATATACATAATAAGTTTCTCATGTATACTCGTATAAAAATAAATTTTTGTAATGAGAAATAAAGTTTTCGTAATTTTTTTCAGTTCCAAACGAAATTATACCGAAACCTGTCCCGTTCGTTATAAGGCACGCGGCAAATGGTGATATTAAGTACATAGATCCTGAATCTGTTCCGTACCTGGGATATTCACCTCAAGATATATTAAATATGGATGCACTTCATCTATACCATCCACACGATCTTGCATATTTAAGACAAGTGTACGAAACTATAGTTAAGGAGGGTGGTGTGCTGAAATCTAAACCATACAGGTATAAATAATATCTCCGTTAAATCTTTCATAAAGTAAGATAACTAACAGTTCTATAGTTTGATTTTTATGTGTATATTTTAACTGCCGTATTTGCAAAAAGGGAGCGTTCAAGTATTACGTCACGCAATTTTTGGAGATTATTGACCCCCCCCCCCACCAATGTAACGCGCCGTAACGTTTTTCTGTACTGTACCCAAGTAAAAATTTTGGCCACCGTTTGTTTGTTTCTTCTATCTTATCGTAATAAAAATATAATATTGGTTACAAAAAAAAGAATATCGTCAATTGCTTTATTAAAACTAGGCACATTTTTATTACCGTACACTGCAGTGCAATGCTAGTCTGCCACGCGACTTCCGGGGTAATGACTACTTGCTTTGCAAATAAGAAATATTAAGACTTCCGGGGTAATGACTACTTGCTTTGCAAATAAGAAATATTAAGACTTCCGGGGTAATGACTACTTGCTTTGCAAATAAGAAATATTAAGACTTCCGGGGTAATGACTACTTGCTTTGCAAATAAGAAATATTAAGAATAAAGATATCTGAAGCCAAAATCAAAGGTTGTGTCCATTTATTTTGAATCAATATTCACGTATTATTAAAGTGTTTTCTCTTGTAATTGTTTACAGAATGATGACCCAAAATGGTGACTATGTTAAACTTGAGACCGAGTGGTCGTCATTTATAAACCCATGGTCTAGAAAATTGGAATTCGTTATTGGAAAACATTCGCTGATTGAAGTAAGTCAAAATGATTTATATGAGCGTACAATTTTTTTTTTTCATATAGCGACACTGGTATAAGCATATACTAATTAGAAAGCTTTACTCTATTTTTCCAGAAAGTAAAAACCAAAATAAAATATGAATTTAAAGGAAAACTTATAACAAATATATCACATGTGTCTCAAATATAGCTTGTTTTATATAATAATGCGATTTCAATTAGAATTAAATAGTAATGTAGTTCACCTTAGCCAATTACTATAATATCTTCTTAATGATTTGGAATTATAAATTAGCCAGTCGTAAAAATCAAGTCGAAAAGTACCCCATCTCCTATTTTATTTATGCTGTGGTCTAGTAGACTGCCAATAGCGATAGCGATTCTGGCATCATTTACTTTAGAGTTTAGATCATTATGGCTACTTTGATATTCGATGCCGTGCTTCTGAACAGTAAATTGGCGCTTTGGCTAAACCATGAGTTTTTGTACTGAGTTACCTTACGCATATTAAAAGAAATCGAAATCGGGTACAAATACGTATCACTGTTGCTCTTATAATTTGACGTTAAAAGGCTAGCAAGTAGAGTGCCGACGCAGTTACTGATGTTTAGTACTGTACTTAAACAGTATAAGATTTATTTTTGTATATATACCACAGTTGCTACTCTTTAAACATAGGAATAATATTTTCAGGGCCCAACTAATCCTGATGTATTTCAATGTGTTGAAAAGCCTATGAAAATCTCTGAAGATGATAAGACCAAAGCACAAGCCATAAGAGAAAGCATAGTTAGGGTCATGAATAAGGTAAGTAATCTTTAAAAAAAAATATTTATATGTTTTTATAGAACACGACGCAAATAGATAGGAGGCTCAACTGAGTGATACCGCTGCCCTTGGACACATCCTGCCAGAAGTCGCTCGCAAGTGCGTTGCCGGTAAAAATTGCCTTAATAACGCTCAGTTGTGGAACGACGGACGCCGTAGTAAGACGGATGGAATTTCGTATTCTCTTGACCTTCGATGATGAAACTCTGCAGGTCCGAACACACCTTTCTTCGCCAAGGAATCAAGCCGCGCAAAAAGCGGGTAGTTGAGGAGCTGAATAAATGCTTTATACAGTTGAAAGTGATGGCCCGGAGTGAAGTACCATCGCTCACACCAAGCTTCTTGGATACTTATTTAGGCTTTGCTTCCAAATAGGTAGATTTTCTTCGAAGAGCGGAGTAGCGACGCAGGGTGATTTTTTAGCGGAATATGCGCTAAGTTGTGTTTTCTTGGGGTTAAGTTGGACCCCAGTCCGATATCCCGCTTAGCTTAGTTTCGTCTTAAGACACAAGTTTTTTCCAGTATTGATCGATTACTACCCGAGAAATACCAGCATGGCCAGTGTAAAGAGTATCCCTAGTGCTTGATCGACCACGTAGCAATGAATCTTCCTAAGTCGCAACATATACGTATAATTGTAATGCAGAAAATCAGGGTCTGTAATAGCACACAGGCTTATGGGACCCAAGCGTTCACGGGTTTAAAGTCGGTTGTCGATAACGACCTTGTTGCTTCAATCAGCGAGAAAGCTGCAAATCCATAATTTCTCGGCGAGCTCATAAGAAGCGCTCTGAGCCACACCGGGTCGAAGGCTTTCGCTATGTCCAAACTTACCATTAGATGAAAACATATTAATTTCTAATAGACACGGCGTCAAAAAAAACGCATCTTTCCGAAAATTCGTGTCAAGCGATTATAACTCCTAAGATCCTTCCTGTACCCTATCATTGTTAGTATCGTTTAAAATCTCAATTAACAAGCTTTAAAAAAAATAATCATTACGTGTAGCGTAAAAGTCAATTATGAGTCATTCGCTATATAATACGGCAGAAGAAGCAGCTGAAGTGGTAGCCCTACTGCAAACCTACGGCAGATTGAAGTTGCTCGGCAACTGAACATCAGCCGATTACGAGTGCAACGGGTATACCGACGGTTCCAAGACACTGGAGGTTACATCAGGAGACATGGATCCGGTAGACGTCGCTGCACTACCGTCAGAGATGATCGCTACATTGTGTCGACGTCTTTGCGGAACCGCTTCTCCAACGCTGTGGAGCTGCAGCAGCGGCTTCAAGCTACTCGAAGGAAAGCAGTCAGCGTCTCCACTATCAGAAGAAGGCTGCGAGAGAAGATTTTTCTGCCCTGGAGAGCTGCCTGTAGCCCCCAATTGACTGCCATCCACCGGACGACCAGGAAGCGATTATCCGAAACGCACGCGCCATTCGACCAGGGGAGGAATGTCCTGTTCTCCGACGAAACCCGAGTGTGCCTGTACACCAACGACATGCGTATCAGAGTCTACAGGCGTCCAGAGGAGCGTTTCATACCAGCCTACACCGTGGAAACCGTCGGCTATGTAGGAGGATCCTGCATGTTCTGGGGCGGCATCTCTATCAACGGCAAGACAGACCTCGTGTGCGTCTCCAGAGTTGGAGATGGTCGCGTCTAGGGTCACTGCTCACCGGTACATCACCGAGATTTGGAGGAGCATGTCCCATATGCTGGTTTTGTCGGCGCCAACTTCGAGTTCATGCACGACAAAGCCCGGTGTCACACAGCCTTCATTGTCAAGGACTACCTACGTCGAGTTGGCATCAAGGTTATGGACTGGCCAGCAAAAAGCCCCGACCTCAATCCTATCGAGCATTTCTGGGACGAGCTGAAACGGCAAGTTCGGGCCCGTGATCCATCTCCTGCTACTCTCGATGAGCTTCGAGATGCCGTCATCGAGGAGTGGGACAACATTCCCCAGGAACACGTCGTGGCGCTCATCAGGTCCATGACTGACCGCTTGAAAGCTGCTCGCAGGGCTAGAAGAGACAACACACCTAGTGTTTAAGACTAATTTTTAAGGATTGTTATTGTTGATTTTTAATTTTTGTATTGTTTCTTTTCTTTGTAATTTTGATCAGAATATACATTGTTTCACATATTCCCAGAATTTTAATTTTTATAGGGGTGGTGGCCAATTTCCTACCGTTTTCAAATAGGCATAATTTCAATAGCTTTCAAATGATATTAATAATGGTACATGAAGGATCTTAGGAGTTATAATCGCTTGACACGAAGCAAATAAAAGTTAAGATGTTGAAGAAGTAGGAATTTTTTTCATAATCATCAAAATAATTGTGAAACATGAAATTATTTATATTAGTATTTCACAAATAGGCCAAAACATATTTTGATTTCATGTTTAAAAATTGACATATTAAACACTTAAAACAGACTATGTAACCGCGTCCGACGTCAAGCGGCGAGAAAAGATTATGAACGTAAACCTTTTATTCGCAGCACATGACGTCGTCGCTATAGGGCCTACAAACTGCAAAACAAAAAAAACCTGTCCGATTATGAAAACCAAAATTTAAGTATTTGAGTCTGCATTACTGATGATGCTAGAGCGGGTACAAAACAATTCACCAGGCACCTATATTGTAGAATGTACGGTGTATACCAGTGTATACGGTGTATACAACGAACTCGAGAGTGCGCTGAGAATTTGCACTTACCAAATATCTTATAAAGTTGTTACTTGGAATGGAAAACAGTGTTTGGATGTCCAGCCTAGGCCTCAGGGTGCCTGATCATTACGTTAGGAGGCGACATCTTCCGCCGTTACTAAGCGTACTCACAGCTAAAACTATATACCTATAAAAATCCACTAGAAGCTAATTGGGAAGGTAATAAAGGTTGAAAAGTGGGTAACTCACGAATTGAGTGAAGCAAATCGACAATCGCGCGTCGACTGTTACATTACTCAACCGGCACAATAATGAAGGGCTTTTAAATCGAATTACCTGTGATGTAAAGTGGATCCTGTACGATAAACGGAAGCGTTCATCGCAATGGCTGAACCCGGCCGAACCAGCCAAAACGTGCCCCAAGCGAAAATTGACTTCGAAAAAGTTATTTGTGAGCGTTTGATAGACTAGTGGCGGGCGTTCACTATAACTTTCTTAAATCTGGCTAGACGATTACCGTAGATGTCTATTGTCAGCAACTGCCATGATGGAAAAGCTTGTTGCTATACAACCAAGGCTGGTCGATCGCTCTAGGACACTGCAGCTTCACGACAACGCTAGACACACACTGCACAACAGACTGCTACCAAATTAGAGGAGCTTTAATTGGAATGTCTAAGACATACACCGTACTCCCCGGATCTTGATCTAACAGATTGCCATTTTTTTCGAAATTTTGATAACTTCTTGCTAGGTAAAAAAAATCAACTCTGATGGGGCAGAAGACACCGCATTCAAATATTTTATTGATTCCCATCTGAATGGTCTTGTTACCAAGGGATTAATGAACTACATATAAAATGGCAAAAGTGCATTGATAGCAAATAGTACTTACATTTATTATTTAAATATATTCTATTTAAAAAAGGGTGCGTGTACTTATGTACGCGCGTAAGAAGTTATTTGGCATTATTATAAATAGTTTTTGATTGCATGCAAATAATTAATTGCAATTAAATAATCAAAGACTGGAAAAGGAGTCATTATAGTCAATAAAGTTCAGTTTACATTTGAAAAATTAAATAAATAAATATTTATTATTATTCTCTTACATAAGGTGTAACATAAATTCTATTATTATTCGAATGTTGCTTTTAAATTATGTCCAATGCCGTAACATCTTCCGTGGGCAATTTCATTCTGTTAATTTTGTGTCACAGTGCGCGCGCATCGTAAAATTTCACTCTCATTAATTTTTCATAACGCGCCTAAAGAAGTATAACTTCACTTCATCTATAATAAAAATTGTTTTTTCGTTTTGATGACGCGTGTTTTCCTTCAATCACTATAAGCCATATAAGCATGCTTATAAAAGTTATAACTGATGCCTTATTGATGTGTTTTTGTTTAGATATTAACAAAGCCAGCGGAAGCAGCAAAGCAACAGATGACCAAACGTTGCCAAGATTTAGCCTCGTTCATGGAGAGTCTAATAGACGAAGCCCCAACGAACGACGAAGACATCTGGGTTGACATTAAGGAGCCTGATAGCGCCTTTTATGTAAGTACTGTATGAAAGAAAAGGACAAAATCATGAGTTGTATGATAAAAAATATGTTTTATAGTAATATAGAACAGATTTAAACGGGCAGGTTTCACCTAAAGTTAAAGCTTAGGTTTCGGCCGTCATTTTACGGTTGTTAATAACGTTTCACGTTTTCACTCATTGTATTAATTAAATATGGGCACCGCTTCACGCGAAAAACGTTGAACTAAAGTTTATCACCGCTATGACCCCCGTCATGCAAATGACAGCACCTCTATATTTTGACGTTACGGTGACACTCAACGTTCTCTAGAAAACCTCCGATGTTATTTATAGACAACGTATGGGTGACGTCACCCAATGCTACATTACGTTAGATAACGGCACCGCTTTTCTAGGAAACCTAAGCTTTAGTCATACAGGTTCGTGGGCGCGCGCGTTTTTTGTATAGCAAATTGTGAATACCCGACAAATGTTACTACTGAACAGTTTCATTCATCTCGCAAAACTAAGAAACTACCGAAAAGAATTGAATTCTAAGCAGTGTTGGCCTAGTTCCTAGAGTGCATAGTCGTACAAGCCTGAAGCATTCATGCAGCCTGAGCCTCGGGCATTCGGATTACAGATTGGTACCATTGTACCAAAAAAATTTTCTTACTAAACAAATATCGTGAAACTGATAATCAAATAAAAGACGAAACGGGCATAGCTAGTTACTAACTGTTTTTTATATTTTTGACAGGACTTTTCAGTTCAGGAGCGTGATTCCGTAATGCTTGGCGGAATTTCTCCTCATCGCGATTATCAAGATAGCAAGTCTAGTACTGAAACACAAATAAGTTACAAGCAACTTAATTACAGCCACACATTACAACGGTGAGTCAAGTCAAAATATTTTTATTAACATATAATTTGCATTATTATTTACCAATTTAGTTAATCCATGTGGGTTTGTACCCACTTGGACATATATGTGTATATATAATTAGATTTATTTTGTTTCAAGGTACTTTGAAAGCTATTTACCTTACTCAGAATATGGAAATTTAGATTCTGGAGCGGACCAGTCGACGTCTGAAAGAAAGTCTAACTCTGTCGGGTGATAATTTTATTTATTACTAAGTTATATATATGCAACAAAACATTAATATTCAAACTTTTGACTTATAAATCAAATCTGTCAGACAAAAGAATACATAATCTACGATATGGTTTAGTTGGACTTTTCATATAGAGTATAACTGTTTCGATTTGAATAATATTCAAGGAATAGCAAAGCAAAAAAATTATTGCCTTCATTAAAGTTCCGCGAAATTTAATTTGTTCATTATTTAAAAAGGTTATTTTATTCACATGACATTAATTGTCAAATCCTTAAAAACTATTTTTGTACGAATTTGTCCTCGATGACATATTCTGAACTACGCAATACAAAGATTTACAAAAGTAAACTAAAGCGTATTTCTGAAATAACCAACATATTTTAGTTTGAAATAGGTAGTTGATGCATGGTATATGATAAAAATATGTATATGTATATCCTAGATGTATTCTTTGCCCGTATAACATTAAATCATCGTATGAAATCGTCTAGTTAAAAACCATAGAGGCAGATATTAAGAGTTAGATTTTCTTCTGTGTGTAATGAAGGTAAGCGTTATAAAAGATAAAATTTCAGGCAATTTTCGCCACGGGATCTGGTCGATTCTGGTGATATGACCAGTTCGTGCGATTCGAGTGCAGCCCATTTGTCAAATACTACTTCTGTCACCCTGGGGAACTACACATCTATCAGATTGACAGAGACTGCTTTAAACAAGTAAGTTTTTGAAATTGTATTTGTACAATTTCATGAAATCCTCCGAGCAAACTGTTCCTAATAATTCTAAATTTTGGAAAATTTAAATTAGTAGAAATCAGTTATTCCCGCTGACAATTAGGAAGAATCAAGAAGGTAGCTTCTCATCGAATACGTTAGATCCATCTTTAGCTCTTGACTAAAGATTGATACGATGTTACGGTTCTACAATTGATGTTTTGTCCAGGATCAGACCATTTTATAAGAAGCCGTGTTTAGTTTTTAATATTAATCATCTAAATTTGTTGTATACATGCGAGCAACGGCGCTACTGTCAGATTCCATTGTCTTTATGACACCAGAGCTCATAAATTAACAACTTCAATGTAGATTAATTAACGACTAGTAAAACCGTTAGTTTAGAACTAATTTGACTTGTTATAGGATCTGTGACATAATGAGATCGTCATGTGTCAATCTTAACTTCCACAGTTGACAGACATACAGGCTGTGTAAAAGGAAGTAAAGAGATACACTTTCTTTACATATACCATTAAATAATTTCATTCAGATCTGCTAATGCTATGTAATGATTTGGATGCAATTTATTGTTACTACTTATATACCCTAAGTAAACTTCAGTATCCGAAATAAATAAAAACTGAATTTAATATTTTTTATAGGCATAACTCGATTATGGAAAAAGAGTTAATGAAGATTCATAGAGAGATCAAGTTAATACACAAAGATGAAAGAAAAAAGTCTTCGAAGGAATCCAGGCTCAAGAAGAAGGAACATCTTGCGCGTTGTAATGCATCTTTCTTCTCCACTTCTGCTAGGATATCCACTGTTGAATCCGAGGTAATTAAAGCTTTATCAATTGTACTATATCTCTAAGCTAAACATGTGTATTCAACTTTATTTTGCTATGCGATAATACAATTAACGACTGCGTCTTAAAGTGCTTAACTTATTAACGGACCGGACCGCATTGCCCGTGTGTGTTACTGTGTATTATATTATATAATTTACAAGACGTTTTTATGATATGTTATATATCAATGATTTCTTAACATGTTTACGACAAGTAACATTTTCCAGTCTATTGGCCTGAAGCGTTCGTCCAAGCAATCAGAAAATGCTAACATCAAGCAGCGGTGTGCTACGGTGAAGTTGCCAAGACGGCACGAAAATACGGACGACGTTCGGCCTTCAACCTCGCAAAACAATACCACTAGTAAGTTTTATATATATAAAAAAAGCGGCACAAAAGAATTTAAAATTGTCTCTTTCTAATTTTCTATGTTACAATATGCTTACTATGTTTTTAGTCATATTTTATCTATGTATGGCTTTCGAAAGAGAGTCTGATGCCTGATCTTTCAATGTATCTGTAGAGCCAGGGGGCAAATTGGGTTTGGGATGTTTCGATATCAATAATAATAAAACTTGACTGAAAAAGTGCTTTGTAAAATAATATGACCATTATGACATCTATATATACCTTATTAGATAATTATTAATAGACAGGTACTTGAGATGTATAAGTATCTATTAGATTTACAAAAGATCATAAAACAGATACATAAATCTGAGGCCCAGACCCAAAAAAAAGGTTGTAGCGCCACTGATTTTTTTTACTTGAGATAATTATTTGTATTTTCCAGTATCTCCTCCAACGATCCCCGCTGTGAACAACATGGATACATTCTTCCTTGGTATTCCTCAACAGATGTCTTTACCTGCAGTTACAGGTAAATATTAGGCTTCAGAGAACATTGAATATTGAGGTTGGAATAGACATATTGTTCGAGTAGCTGGTGGCGCGTAGCGTGAAAAATAATATTATTACAGCTTTTTTTTTCTTCATTTTATTTAAATTTAAAAAAAAAATCAGGTATGGTTCCCGTTTGCTACGTGCCTGCAACGCAACAGCAAATGACAGGGGACGGAACGACAAACAAACCTAATCAAAACACCGTCAATCAGGCATATGCTAGTAAGTGTAATTTTTTTTACTCTTTTTAAATCGTTTCTTTCATAGGAGAAATATTCTTTTAAATTTAGTTGGTTGTTACATCCATGTACATATAGACTTTAGTGTAAGTATATGTATTTTTTACAGTGCCTTGTGTAATGTATGGTCAGCCGATTTATAGTACCCCGTTAATGTATTCGGCGGTAAACCCACAAATGCAACAGATGCAGAACATGCAACAGATTCAGCATATGCAACACATGCAGCACATGCATCAAATGCAACAAATGCAACAGATGCAGCAAGATTATATGGCACAAAACTTTGATACAGCGACAATGCATTCCCTTAGACTGCCAAGCACCACTTATCAGGAGGTGAGAAATATTTCGTGTGTCACTCGTTCGAATGGGGTTGTAACACATTGTAGGTCACGTGTACGCGCGTGAACTACTTTTAAGACTCAGCCCAGAGCTAAACAGAAATTAGTTTTCGTATCAATTCCAACGTTATTATTATGTCTAATGTGTGAAAGTAAAATAAGCACGAATTATGTTGACGTCAATTTTTTACGTAATTTCACGACCCCGTTTGGAGGATTATTTTTGAAGTTATACTTCTTTAGGCGCGTTATGAAAAATTTATGAAAGTGAAATTTTACGATGTGCGCACACCGTGACACAAAATTATCAGTATGGGCGCCGAGCGTGCGCGAGCGAGATGGGAATAAGACAATCTACAAGTAAAAATAAATAGAATATGCGTGACGTTAGCAGCCATGCCAAGAATTTTGAATGACCATAATGACATTTGTAGTACCTTTTAAACAAATAAAAGAGTTTTAATTATTTTTTCAAAGAAATTTAGCAATGCTTTTTCACAAAGACCTATTGTTACTTAGTTAAAAGGTTATGAAGCATACCTAGTTATTAAATTGAATTAATAATATGATAAAATCATAAATAATTATTATTATTAATCCATAATTGAATAATATACTAAATATTAAATATTGTTAAATTATTAACGCTAAATATTTATGATTAATTATTTAATATTTAAAAAAAAAATAAAGAAAGGCAAAGAAGTATAACTTACGCGCGTACATATGTACACGCACCAATTTTTTTTTTAGTTAATGATTGCTTTTGAAATATTTTGATTGGTATTGATAGAAATTAACATTAACAACCCTTCCAAATCTTTTCTAAAACAGGTAACCCGTTAGTGGTTTCTGGATCAATCGGTTTGTTGCTCCAGCGTTATTCAAATAATTTATGTAATAGAGGATATGAGAATGGAGTGGATGGAAGTGGATGAGAGAATATAGTTAATACAATTCAATGATTGATATTTGTCAGACACTTTGGATATTGTTATTTTTTATTCATGTTACCGGTAAATCTACAATATGGGAAACAATTTTAAATTAGTATTTAGACAACACTGGTATACATTTGTAATGTATGTCCCAAAAAATTGTTATCTAAATACTACGAGTATTATATATTTAAGACAGTACTGCAGATAATATATGAAATATATATCTGACACATTCAATTAATTCGTATAAGTATTTAGCGAGTAGAGAGCACTTATGTAAGGGAAGTATGGATTTTGTTTGCCTATTCCACATACTTTTAATTATTTGATTTTGTTTATCCTGATTGCAGTTTCGTAGCTAACGAACAGCGCTCTTATTAGCCATGCTTAATTTGTGTACATTTCTCTTGTAACGTTTTGAGTATAAAAACAAAGTAAAAACAAACTCAAACTCAAAAATATCTTTATTCATATAGGTAAACCAGTACACTTATGAATCGTCAACAACGCACTGATATTATATAATACGAACTTAATTTTTCCGAAATGGGAAATACAATAATTTCTATTCTTGTCTGGAACCATAAATTAAAAAATAAATAAATTGTATAGTTGTGTCGCTGGCCATTAATTTGGCCTGTGTATGCTGGTTGCGAAATGTATTTAAGATTGCAATGATTCGCAGGCTTGTAAACTCACTTTTCCAACGGAGAGCAAGTCGAAAGCAGCAGTATTGAAAGAGCAACGGGAAGGACCACTGATTAAATCAAAGAAAGAAGGAAGTGGCGCCAGTCGTTCATCAGCCGCTGTTTCCCTGCTGGTATGTTTCTCAAGACTACAATTTTTCAATTTGTACATTATTTTGATAAATCTCGTAGGGTTCAGCCGGGGTTTGCAATATAAGCGGAAAAAATGTAATCATTTACGACATCACATTAGAAACCTCAAAAATAACAGTATTTCTCCACTATTTAATGAATGTTATTATACATATAAACCTTCCTCTTCAATCAGTCTATCTCGTAAAAAAATCGCATCAAAATGCGTTGCGCAGTTTTAAAGATTTAAACATAAATAGGGATATAGGGACAGAGAAAGCGACTTTGTTTTATACTATGTAGTGATGACGTGAGACTTTGTTTAATCTTTGTGATACGAAGCTTTCATGATAAGCGTAGTACTTAGTTAGATAAAAAAGTAATATTTAGTAAAATACTGTAATCGCATGAAATGACACATTTGTATACATAACCATATTAAGGTTCTCTCGTATGGAGATTAATATTTATGTAAGATATGTATGAGTTTCTTACTTTCGCCTTCGAGTATAATAGTGTTTGAGCGGTTGATAATTCAATAATTCTCAATCAAACATATTTTAGATAAGAATAAACGGCAGGTCCTTCTTGTCACGTGTTATTGATATTTACAGAGTACAAAAACAAACGAAAGCAAAATAAAGACAAGAGTGACAAACAGTGAAGATACAATTGACAAAACTGATGAGGAGTCAAGCTATTCTTCGTTCTATTCCAACTTCTTTAAGAGCGAATCGGGAAGTGCAGAAGACAATATTGTTAAAAAGGTATGTCGACATAAAAATCGAAAATAAAAATACGTTACATATGTATCCTATTGTAAGCATTTATATAAAAAAAACTTGTCGAAAATTTATTCATTAAGCATTTCCTAACCAATTCAACTTAGGGTCCTTATAAAAAGAGATATATAATTATTTAAAGGAGAGTAACGCAGCCCTGTTAGATTAAGGATGTCACTTAACATCAGATGAGCCCCTTGCTAGTTTTCTCCGGTTCTATAGAAAAAGTTCCTTCCAAGAGCGCACGATCCGCCATACAAAAATAATGCGAAACAACTAAAGATCGGTGTTATACGACATCGTCAACGAGAATACCTTGAGAACTATCGTGAACCAGGCAACTGAAACGGACTGGCGACGTACACGACAAACGAAAAACGTTACGATCATTGGTCAATAATCTTCAAAAATTGCGTGACGTAATACTTGAACGCTCCCAAACAGAATAAAAAATAAAAAAAATTGTAGGTTCTATCACTAATACATAATTTTAAACGGTTTCTAACTATCTCGTCAAATAGTCCATTGTTATTTCAGCTTTGGACAGGCGCATCCAGTTCATTTGATAATATAAAAGGTGCTTCTAAGACGCCTAGACGAAAGATGGACCCTCCCTGGATAGAGAAAGTAAGTCTACATTTAAAATGCATTTTGCGACAGCAAAAATCATGTATCATGTATAAAATTAATATATTTATAAAATTAATACTACAGTATTTGATGCACATATGTACGTAATAAGTATATTGCAATTGTGTTTTTTTTAAAAGCTAGTATAGTTTTTTTAAAGAAAATTAATGTTTTTCTTTAAAAAACTTATCTGTTTAAAAATTATAACTATATCTTTAAATTTTTGATTTAGGTGTGTGTGACGTCTGAACTTATTTACCAATACCAAATGCTACCTAAAAATATCAGTGAAGTGCTGTCACGTGACCAAGAGCTATTGCAAACTATAGAACAGGTAATTATTGTAGATTGTATTGACTATTGCGCTTCGATGAAAAGCTTCAAGCATAAAAATTACATATTGTCAAAAAATTCTCATGAAAATCATGTGTCACGGCCTTGTTTCACCGGTTTTATAATAGAAAAATCAGTTATTAAACAACAGAAGGATTTAGAAATTCGACGCGAAATTGTTTTATCTGAAAATTATAAATTATTTAAAATTTGTATCAAACTCATAGTCAAAATCATTTATTAATTTAGGTAACACATTGTACACTTATGAACGTCACTAAAGAAATACATATTAAATACTAAAGGCTTCTAATTTTACATTTACTGTCAGTTCTTAAATTAAGGGCGTAGAACAGACGAGAAGAACTGGCAATAAACTCCGTCACTCTTTTTAATTGCCAAGTTTTTTTGTTTTACACAATGTTTGTAATGACCTGCAACCATTACACCATGTTACACACGACATCTTAAGTACTGAATAGTTAATTAATGATAATAAAAACAGAGATTTGTCCTCTATCAGCAGTAGGATGAAATAAGAGCACGCGCTTACATTCTCGTGGGAACAACACGCAAAATACAATTAGATCCTTATCTGCTAAATGACTTCTTCGAAACCTGATCTTTAAGAATGGTTCCGATTCGTTCATCAATAGTCCAGGAGAGAGACTCTTAGAATATATTGAGCCATCAGCTTCTTGCTTACTTAAGGGCAGAAGCAAACGTTCTGTAGACTTAGAGCTGAAGGCTCACCTAACGTACATCGCGCCCCTTGGACACTCACTCTGCCAGCGCGCGAGTGCGTGTTCGGCCCTTTTAGAATCGGTAGGCTTCTTTTAAATTCTTCAATTAAAAAGGATTTCTCATGTTTCAGCCTTCATTAGTGAACGACCAATTGGGGCAGTTATATATGGATCTTCAGCTTGAGGGTGTTGCGACAAGGCTGACTTTAGAGGAAGGCATTACGAGTTCCAGCAGCTCTGGCGAAGAAAACTTCGTTCGGAAGACTAAAGTACAGGTAAAATTCTTTGACCTATATAACTTTTTTAATGTGGTATATTGGTACCTTGTTTAACACAGGTGGACTGAAAAGTTCGTAGGCTAAGATGGTTTATTTTTTTTAATAGAGTTTGATTTGATTATTTGATATAGTTACAAGAGCGATACATCGATACGATTATATCGCTCATACAATTTTTTAGATATCATTTTTATAGTACAATTTGTCTCTTTCCTCAAAATAGGCTTCATTAACCAAGTGGTTTGCTAAACATAATAAAAAAGTTGAGAAGGCTCAACTGTTGATTTTGCTGGTCCAGATTTATTTTGCCAAAAAGCAATGCTTTATTAACACACGAAATTCCTTTTTATCAATTTTTTACACAAATAAGAGTTCCTTCACTCAAATTACTATATCTCAAAAACTTAGTACGAGAGTTGTCAAATTTATACACGTGTCTTTTGAAGGTTATGGGTAACTAAAAATCATATTTATTTAGTACTAGTAGCGCCATCTATGTGTTGAACCTACAAAATTTTCAGCCCACCTTATAGTATGCCAACACAGTTTAATATATTATAAGGTACAACTTTTTTGTTTAAATACCGAAAAAATCATTGTGTGTGTGCTGTAGTTTTGTATACTTATTTGTTCTATTCCTTTAAACGCCCGTAGTTCAACGTAGAGTTTCCATGTATATAATATGATTAAATCGTTTGATAAGATTAGCAACCTCATTAATTTAATTTTTCTTAATAGAATATAACTCAAAAGTTTTGTATGAACGATTGAAAGAACGATAAAACATTATTTTTAATCATAACATTGAATGCTACTACTAGATGAACATCATTATGTCTCAATAGACTAGTAGCTGATTAGTCTTCTGCGTCTGACATACACGATTTGAATGGCGTTTTCCTTCACCCTAAAAGTGTTAGATAGCTCTTCTTGCAGGGTTCATCGCACGCTAAATCCAGTGACAAAGTAGCCGGATGAGTTCATAGGGCTACTTTATCATATAAAAGAACACACTGCTCTTCTCAGTTTTAATAAATATGCTTTTTATGTAAAAAAAATTCTCAGGTGCGCCGACGTAAACGTGAATATAGCAAGCTGGTCATGATATACGAAGAGGATGCACCTCTTCCATCTCCAGATGAAGCAGCGAGTCCCTCATCGTAATAAGCCCTAAATTTCCAAAGTCTAGATATTAAGCAAATATGTACTCAAAATGTCTAATTGTAACACGTTATCCATTGAAGTCTCTAAAACTGTGCCCATAAATGCCGTATACGTTAAGGTAAACAAATTCGATAAATTAATGCAACTTTTTTAAAAAAAATCACAAAAAAAGCCTAATACATGCAACCGTGACCATGCTCGACCTAAACATTAAACGCTATTTGATTCAGTTAAATCTATGGAATATATGTTTCAATGTATGGAATTCGTATCGACGTATACGCACGTTGTATGTTACTGACGAACTCAGTGCGTGATTCAAAGGTCTCTTTTCAGAACACTTCAATTGGACAACGTTATCGTTTATAGTGATGTAAGGATATAAACCTAATGTTTTATAAATGCCGTTATTTAACGAACAATATATTATTATATAATTATCGTTCAAAATCGTATATAGATGCTGTCTTGTTAGGATGAAAATTTTATCTCAATTTTATTTACTCGAAACCTGTCACTACCATCAAAATTATATATAAAATTTAAAGATTTTAACCGTTTAAACGATTTTAGTTAGTCAATTTTAGCCTAAATAAAGTTTAGGCGGTTCGTGTTTTGATCTCTGAATAAACAGCAATCAGAACACCTTCCGAAAACTGGGCGTATAACTAATAAAATCGAATAATGATCGACTAAAATGAAAACTCTTTTACTACGTCAAGAATGTAGTGATAAAATATAGTACATAGGTTATTTCTATCGTTACTAATAATTGATGTCTAAAATTAAACTTATGATAGTATATTAAACATAATATAGAGCATACAAAATAAAAGATTCTACCAGAAAGATCTTTGCTCCATCTCCGAAATGAATTGTTTAGATTAGATCATAGTCACTTTAGACGAACGCAGATCCGATTCCAATTTAAATTCTCAACGCCAATTTAACATTCTTCTCAAATAGTTTTAACGCCAATTTAAATTATTATTCATACATTTTGTATTTTCCGCTTAGTTAGGTTAGGTTAGGTAAATATTGATCGGACATAGATAGATACCATATACATAGAAATAATATTAAAATATGTTTTTCGTTTAAAGCAAATAGGCTACCTACGTAATGTCGAAAACGTGAGAAGTGAATGGTTAAAGTATGGGAGCTTATATATATATATGAAAAAATATATTACATATTTACATTAAATCATATATATTCTATTTAATAATAGGAACAAAGTCAAATTATTTATATACAAAGGTGAATCAAATATATTTTATACATAACATATAATTCTGTTAATAATAATGATAAAATGTTACTAAATTCACATTAATTTAATCGTTTTGGTTTGTATGAAATATTATTTTTTTTTCAAGGCAAACGATACAGATTTCAAAATTTTTAATTATGGGTTTTTTTGATAAATCGATGATTATTATTTACAAGACATTTTACTCCATAACGCTTTTGAAGCCGTGGTTGTACAGATCTCAATAACACTTTATTTTTCATACTGTCGTCGTATATCGGCTTTTAACTTTTAATCATATATTTAAATGTTGAATTAAAATATATTTTACGTGTGATAATTTATAAAATGTTCTGGTATTCGTTATTGTATTTTTAGATTTTTTTAAATTTTATATACTTTTTATGTTTGTGGAAAATTATTTAAAGGTATCTGTAAATTTATGTGTAAAATTTTAAATTGTATACAGTCGTAGTCAGATTGTGTACGTACCTATCAGTGTACCATACATTATTATAAAAATAATTTAATGTTGAATAAATATGAATAAAAATAATAATTTCATGTTTCTTTTTTATTTTATAAACTTCTAGAAGTGCCAATCACAAATTACAGCATTATTTTTTCCTTACGATAGTCAGGTTCTAAGGCACATATTGCGTCCATAAGTTTGTTAGGAGTTACGGACCCGACCGACGTACACAGATAGACAACATTTTCAAACTTATAAATAATAAAAAGATCATCTAACTGTAAATCTTAAGCATTCTCAAATCCACTTAAAAAACAAAAATTCATCAAATTTGTACCAGAAGTTTAAGAGCTTATTAAGATATCGAAATGTGCAACAATTCAACAAGTCTCGGAAAAGATTTAGATTTGTATAAATATGAACAAGAGTTAAAAAGTTTGCCAAAGAAGTTTCACTTCTGACATGTGTACTTTTTTTCAATTAAAGGAATACGCATTGAATCAGTTTTTTAGATTAAGTTGATCATATTGTTGTCAATTAATTTAAATATACATCAGAGAATATATCACGATTACAATTTATTTCTCATTGTAGTCTTTTTCATAAAGATCTAAGTTTCCAACCAATTTTTTATAATAATAATAATAACTATATAGATATTACAAGTATTATTATTGTATCTATTGGTACTTTGATTTACATTTTTATTATACTATATTTAATTAGTATTTTTTCGAATGTGACATTTTTGTAATTATCTCACTAATTATTTCGGAGCATAAAAGATACGCCTGATGGAAAATTATTCTTATTTAGTATTGCAATTGGTAGACCGGGGAAGCTGAATAGACGGATTGATCTCATGAAACCACATGAAGATTTTTGTCAGACCTATCAATAGCAAATGTAACATATCCTTAAATGAAATAGAAATTTAGTAAATAAATTGATATTGTCTGACATTTTTACCAAGAGATGTATTCAAAAATTTATAATGTTGTTCTTTAATAGAAAATGGAATCTAGTGGCTGTAATTTTACATAAAAATAATTATGTACAATAGGAAAAAATATATATTGTGAGATTTATAAGATTCCAGATTATTTTTTTTAATCTTAGATTGTGGAACGTTTTTCCTAAAATATCTAATTGGAATTGAATCTCAGGAAAGGTCTTTTACGTAATATGTTATCGAAACGCAAACAGTTGGAGAACTACTAACTTTATAATGTATATTCCGTCTCCTTGAGATCTCTTGGACTTGTTTAATTCTGTTATAATTACTGTTTTATAATATTTGTACCTAAATATTCACACAATTCCACCTTAACCATTCCTTAAATCATTTGTTTACCACAAATGTAATTTTTACATAATTAATATATTAAAAGAATCAGGCGCTATATTTAAACCATTTCTTGGATGAAATTTTAATAAGTTTATACAATTTAGTACCAGACGGAATGGTTATTATGTTAAAATTTTAGTTTTCCTATTTGTATTAATCATCACATAAAAATGCAGTAATTTTCTGTTTAATACGTGATGTGACCACACATACGCATTAAAAGCCCCGTAAACAATGTAACAACATTCACGCACACTAACGTAGAACCAATACGACGGCAATGTTACCTGCGCAAGAGTCGCATTCCGTTTCCCACCTCCGCGCGTATTCATCGAGGCTGTTAAAGGCTTCGATAATAAAGTATATTTTTTAGAAAGTGACCTTAGTGCGTGTGTTTCGTTTTGATTCCGACATGACAACCAACTAGTGTAAGTATTATATTACATATTATTACAACCATTATAAATAAGTACTATATTGTTAATATAATACGATGATTAAACCTTCGTGCTTATCGTCTCAAACAATACCTCATTATCTAGAAAAAAATTACAGCCTTTTGCAACGTAATACAGGTAGGTACAAATTTCTGATTTTCATTTTCCATATCCACGGACGTTTCATAATCATAAGATCGGATCACGTGATCATTTGCTTAGCGAAGTGTGATTAATCTAACAGTTTTTCCCAACATATTTTTCCGATGACTAAATGAAGCGTGGCTTATAAACCTTCAAGGCTTAGTCAAAAGTGCGCAGTGTGAAGATAATTCCCTAATTGTATTGTTATATACGAGTATATAACAACATATAAAATACAGATGACGCCTATATTAGTCTTTCCTGTCCGTTAAAATTTCTTTAAATACAGATAATCAATATTTTCGTGGTTTGTGGATTGGAGTAATTCTCCTGCTATGATTCCTACCTTCATATTTGTATTATTATACGCACTTGCGAGCCCTCTGGCAATGTGAGTATCAATGTTATGTCTATGTCACTTAACATCAGATGAGCCACCTGCTCGTGTTATTTTTATACATATGTAACTGGGGGCAACTGTTGCATAAAAAAAAAATTAATATTTATTAATGAGCTGTACATCATTGCTTTTATTTTGTTTGTATTTTATGATTAAAAAATACCATACAATACCGAACATTGGATTAATACCTAGCGCCTCAGTCCAAAAGTCTTCTTAGTTTTGTAACAGAAAATTAATGATATCTCGTTAAAAAGCCTATAAAACCTTATCCTTACATAATATAACGAACTATTGCTGAAGATATCCACGCGGTTAAATTTTAATATATTGAGAAAATAATTGTAAATTTCTATTGAACATATAATTACCTACTATAATTGCTCATTAACACATGCGTCGTAATTACTAAAGTACCTACCTGTTATTCGTAATGACAGATGGGTTTTAATGACACTGATAAGAACTGTCTGTAAACAGGTTGCTTAAGTGTAATGTGTTGAATGTTAGAACAATGTATGCAATATTATTTAGAGTGATTTCAAGCGAACAGTAATTTATTAAGAGCTTTCGATATTTAGGAGGTTCACGGAAAAACGTAACCAAATGTGAATAGTTTCACAAACACAGCAATAGTTTCCAAGTAATCTGTTTTAAAGAGAAATATTTGTATATTGAAGTCACAAAAAAAAACGAATATAAACTATACAGCTGCAATAACTAAGTTATTGCTACCAAGTGTGGCTGCATCGTATCCATTAGTAAAAGAAATAGAACAATCCAGTCTGGTAACACAGATATTGACAGGGCTGGGTGGATTTTCATCGTATTTTCACAGACTTTAAGTTAAACAAAACGCAGCCTGTCCTTACAACAATGCAGCTGAAGAGGCGATATTGCATGTCCTGATTGACTGTCCAATGTATGGCTACGTAAGGTACAACACT